CGCAGGCGCATGAGAGGATCAGCAATGCCGTGCTTGGAAAGGAAAGCAAAGTTGTTTTCTTTGAAAAGGTGAACTGGTTCTTTGAAGATCCTTCTCAATTGTCTGATGCAGAAGCGATAGAATGATAACAGAGTCACTTCCGAGAATCCTGTGGCTATGATTCCATATCGAAGGCATGTGTAGGTACATTGATACCATACCTGAGTCCGCTGATGTGCATTCATCTTCTGTGTGTAGAGCCATCTGTGAAGTTGGTGAGATGTCTGCTCGCTGTGCTTCAGTCTAAGAGCCATCGTCTCACGTTCAAAGTTGTAGTATGACATCATCACGCCCAGATATCGGAATGACTTCACCAGCTTGATTCTTGTGTGAGTGCCGTTGGATCTGGGAATTTTGATATATGTTCCTGTTTGAGTGCGCACAATGAACTTGCGTTGCATCTTGCCAGCTAATTTTCCCTTCATGCGCAGCGTGATGGTGGTCTTGGACAAGTTCAGCTCCAAGTGAGCCCGTTCAATCAAGTCAAGCAGGGTACCAAAAGCATGAAGTAAGGTAAGAAAAGAATCCTCAGAGTCAAAAAGCTGGTGGGAGCAAATATCGTCAGCAAAAATCGTGACACAGAGAAGCAAGAAGGACATGCTGGTCTCATTGGCAAATTCCTGCATAAGTGCTGAGATGAACACAGTCCAAAGGCATGGAGCGGCTTTGCAGCCTTGTCTGATGCCACGATAAGTTTGAACGGTTTTGGATACTCCTCGATGCTCAAATTCATATGTGGTTATGCTATACACACATTTCAGAAAGTTGATCAAGTCACCAGAAACTCCAAGTTGAGCCATGCCTCGGAAGAGATGTGCTCGTGGGACCGTGTCAAAGGCCCGCGTCAAGTCCAGGCAGAGTGTCATTCCACCTACCAAAGTGGGAGGATCTAAGCCTTGCTTGAGTCTGTGCACTGGATAACTGAACACCCCCATCAGCTCTCGGACCTGTCTGCAGTGATGAGCCAGGCGATGGATTGCATCATCAGTGCCACGGCCTCGCGCGTATGCAAACTGTGGTATCCGATTCAAGGCATCCCCAATCTGTTGATGGATGGCATTATTGAGCAATCCCATTGCCGCCTTTCCAGACGGCTCCAATAGTGCAATTGGACGAAGTTCCGAGGGATGTCGTCCGGCTTTTCCTGGTTTAATCAGCAGGGCCAGTGACCCCATGCCCCAGACAGAAGGAAATGAATGTTGCTGGCTGCATGTTCGAAACATTGGATCCAAAAATTCTGCAATGAGCTCAGCGCCAAACTTCCAAAATGGAGCCGGTGTGAATCCAGGGGCCAAGGCTTTTTGCGTTGGCAGGGACTGAAGTCCTTGGGCGTACTCCTGAAGCGTGAATGGCCATTCAAAAGATGACAATATAGTTGCATCAGGTGTATCACTGTAAATGTCCTGAAACCATTGATGAAGCCATTCTGCCGCTGCTTCAGGTCCGAGTAGATCACCTTGAGCAGAACGTAGCATAATTCGTTTCAGTGGTTGTTTCGGAGATAAAGTTCTGATCGACTGAAAAAGCTGAAAATGATCTTTGGCCTGAGCTGCTTGGGCTGCTGCTTGATAAACCTGAGCTAGCCGTCGTTTTCTGGACAATTTGGAGGCCATGATCATATCTTTACGAGCTTTGCATCTGTGGACAACATGAAACCAAGCAGTGAAAAGTCCAGTGAGATCTGAAGTCTGTACTTGCCGTAGACCTTTAGTGTGCACCTGAAAGCGTCGTACAGGTCCCATTGCTGTAACGGGAGAAGATTCAGATCTGACAGGTTCAAAAATGTCCCCTGAAAATTGATTGAGGGTATTGTGCAAGGTCTCCAGGTCTGATGAAGACTTTGTGCCAAGATGTGCGATTGCCTCATGAAGTTGTGTGCAAAAGTGTGTAAAGACATGATCTTGTTGTACGCAATGTTGATGTAGCTGAAGCCTCTGTGAGCGCGTCCAGCCATGCGATGATGGAGGTCGATCTGGATACCATTCTTTCCTGATCGTTGTCAACAGCGGCACATGAAATGCTCCCGTGATGGGCACCAGTGTGAAGTCTCTCAGCAATTGTACATCTTTTGCCATTTTATCTGCATGTGTGCGTCTTGTGCAGATGTAGTCGATTCTGGAATGCTGATTGCAGAATTCATAGGTTGCACCATCACTCATGTTCCATGTGTTGAGCGCAACCAAGTCATGTTGAGAAAGGAGCTGGTGCCAATGTGAAGCATCTACATGTCTTGGGCCATGACTCCGTCCTTCGTTGGTTCGATACGTCGGATAGCCAATGGCATTGGAACGATGATCTGCAGAGCAATTGAAGTCCCCAGCCATGATGAGGGTATTTCTCTTTGGCAACTTGGACAATAATGAAAATAGTTCATGCCAGAGTTGACGTCTCTGATCCATATGGGTAGTGATGCATGTATATTGATAAATGTTCAAGATGTCAATGCTGCGGTTGGGTCCATGCAAACGCAGTTGTAAAATTCGTCCAGGGATGTGTTCAAACCATGAAAGATTGGAAGGAGAACAGATCTTTTTGGATATGAGACAAAGAAGTCCAGCCTTCTCAGTGGAGGTGCCGGAGTGTACCACAAGGTAATGGTCCATTGTCCAATCCCGTGTAAATCTCCAGTGCGTTTCCTGAAGCAACACTATGTCGATCGTTTGATTCTGTATCCACTGCGTCAAGAAGTCCCAGTGATCTGGAGGAAGACCATTGCAGTTCCAGGAGAAACATGTCATGCGTCTTCTTTGAACTGTCTTTGGAGGGGGTACATTCTTTGAAGGTATGGTGGCAACAGGCACCTTCATTGAAACACCCAATTGTTCAGCAGTGTAAATCTTTCCCCTATACCAAGTATGACCATGGAGAGAAGCACGATGTCTGGCTCGTATAAAACTGCGCTTACAAACCTTTCTCTGTTTGCTGGTCTGGGTTGATTCTGGAATCTGTCGGGGCTCCGATCCATGTTGTTTCGCAGTAAGCCAAGTGTCATTTGCATGAGATTGCTCTACTGCTCTCACGTCGCCCATGGAAACGACGTAACCCTCACCCCCAACCTCGCCACTGCACACTGACAATGATGTCAAGAGCAAAGTGAGGAGTAGATGTCTTCTGAAAGAAGTTCGAGGTTCTCGGACTTGGGACCGAGCAGCGGTCTTGTCTCTGGTGTTCTGGCAAAAAGGATGGGTTGTCCAAAATAATCCAAAAGCCACTGCGCCAAATGCAAAAATGCCAATTGTAACCCCCGCCACACTCAAGGGCTCGTTGTCCAGCAGGAGTGGGCGGTTGGAATCCAGGTAAAAACAGGAAAGCACAATTCCAGCGAGAATGCACAGGCCAGTGAAGGAATAATTGGGAGCCCACCCCATAAAACTGAAATTGAAAAGGGAGCCACCCCAAAATTAATTGGCCAGAAGGAGCTTCAGGAGGAACTGGGGGAAGTACTCAAAGTTGGTGATGTAGCTCAGCGAGATTGCAGCAGCCACCGCCGCTCCGCAGCTCAGCGCAGCTCAGCGCACCAGGTCAGCGACACCGCAGCGCGCTCCAAGAGTTATGCCGGCGAACAACGTAACCAAAACGTGCGGGGGGCTTGCAGACTGCTACCCTGTGGTTCCTCACCACTCGACCGCTCAGGGGCTTGTGTGTGTGTGTTGGTGTGTGTGTGTGTGTTGGTGTGTGTGTGTGTGTTGGTGTGTGTGTGTGTTGGTGTGTGTGTGTTGGTGTGTGTGTGTTGGTGTGTGTGTGTGTTGGTGTGTGTGTGTTGGTGTGTGTGTGTGTTGGTGTGTGTGTGTGTGTTGTTGTGTGTGTGTGTTGTTGTGTGTGTGTTGTTGTGTGTGTGTGTTGTTGTTGTGTGTGTGTGTGTTGTTGTGTGTGTGTTGTTGTGTGTGTGTGTTGTTGTGTGTGTGTGTGTGTGTTGTTGTGTGTGTGTTGTTGTGTGTGTGTGTGTGTTGTTGTTGTGTGTGTGTGTGTGTTGTGTGTGTGTGTTGGTTTGTGGTGTGTGTGTATGTGATGGTGTGTGTGTGTCTGTGTGTGTGTTGTTGTGTGTGTGTGTTGTTGTGTGTGTGTGTTGGTTTGTGGTGTGTGTGTGTATGTGATGGTGTGTGTGTGTATGTGATGGTGTGTGTGTGTGTTGGTGTGTGTGTGTGTATATATGTGATGGTGTGTGTGTGTATGTGATGGTGTGTGTGTGTATGTGATGGTGTGTGTGTGTTGGTGTGTGTGTGTGTTGGTTTGTGGTGTGTGTGTGTATGTGATGGTGTGTGTGTGTATGTGATGGTGTGTGTGTGTGTGTTGGTGTGTGTGTGTGTGTTGGTTTGTGGTGTGTGTGTGTGTTGTGTGTGTGTGGAGGAGGAGGCGGAGGCGGCGGAGGCGGAGGAGGAGGAGAAGCCCGGGATACAGAATCAAAAACAAGAACCCCACACAAAGATGTGGGGAAAAAGCATCTGATATCATCTGATAATGGTGGATTTTCCAATACCATATTTGATTACCAAAGAGAACTTCTATGGTGCTTTCTCTCTGTCCATGTTGATTTATTGGAGGATAGTTTAGGAAATGGCAACACATTGAAAAAAAAACTACCAGGGGCCTTCTTGGGGGGTACCGACTACCGCCAGTAAAAATCAAGTATGATTCTCTCTCGATTTAAGTAGTGGCGCACTGATTGTCCCAGCACAGGTATGTTGTTTCGAGATCCAAACTCAAACTATACAGGTACGGGTATTTCCAGCAACGCTCCCCATATTCCTCAATATGGAAGTCCATATGTGTCCAATCCTACTTTTGACTTTGCAAAACATGACTAAATTATCCAAGATTTTTGATGATTATCATGGCCAACCTTAGATGGCCTCAAAAATAAATATATAGTTGGTTAGTATATGTTAGTATAATCAGACCATTCACGGCAAACACAAGTTCAGTATACCCATCTAGATACACCGAAACTGCTTCCAAGACTCCATTCTAGGCTGGCACTTTGCCTGCGGGCGAGGTTGCTCCTCTCCGTATTGTGTTTACAACACCTCCAATGTCACCACTGAGTCCCTACATTTTGATAGCATTGCCCTAATGACATTGGTACATGTCACCAATTCTTAGTGGTGAATGGCGAAGCATTAAACCCCATTTGATGGGTCATTGTGGGTCATTTTGGTTGCTTAATTACAGCAAAACCAAACCACACTGTAGTTGTCCTTGATTGAAATTATCGTCTTCTTGGTCATATGTGTGCGGGACAGAATTTCAAACACCTGGGACCACAAAGTTGTTGTTTTTTGTTGCAAAACTGTTGGGGTAACATTGGATACCTAATTTAGTCCAATATTCGTATACCATGATTATTAATTATCTGAATCATCTCCGATGACTTAATACTGTTACTTAAACAACCTGTGGTGCCTGAGATACTGATTGAGATTGTAAGTATCATCTGATGGAACATGGCATATGCTTGTGAATGTAGGATTCACCCAATTTCATAAACCATCCCCAAATCATCACCATTTTCGTGGTTTCTATAAACCATCCCCATTTCTGGTAGTTGTTTATGGCATCGGCTCTGTCCCATTCATAATTTCCAACACATATGGCAGTGTGTCAAAACCCTGGTACCCCTGCAGTTCACATCAAAATAGCTGGGATGTATGGATGTTCATCCCATTAAAAATGGTATTAATAGGACATACCCTCTGGTAATTTAACATAACTATGGAAAATCACCATTTTTAATGGGAAATTCCACTACAAATGGTCATTTTCAATAGCTATTTTGACATAACCAGAGGGTATCCAACCCAGTTTGAAGCCTTGAAGCAACCGATTCCGTGCCTGTCATCAACCTCCGATGCTTCGGACTCAGGGACAAGACCTGGCCGGGTCCAAAAGGGCCATGCCGGGCCTTTCAAGCGATTTGGCACACACACAGTAGATACACTACAATGTGGGGCCCCCTAGTTATAAGTTGGTTTATAACCCCATCTAACTATGGTTATAACTACCATAAACCCTAGTTATTGTAGTTATAAACCAACTTAGCTATCTTGGTGGCCCCACATTGTACCCTCTGGTAATGACTAACGTAGCTATGGAAAATGACCAATAATTGCACGAACACTGAGGAAAGATCGATTTATTATGATTTACCCTCTGGTAATGACTAACATAGCTATTGAAAATCACCATTTTTAATGGGAAAATCCAGTATTTCTATGGCCATTTTCAATAGCTATGTAACAAATTACCAGAGGGTAATCAAACTTGACAAGAAAGAATCCCTCACAAACAAAAAAGCATCCACTGATAGACGATTTTCCCCATACTTTTGCCCAACCAAAAAATGCAAGCAAATATCGGTTTTGTTTGTCCCCATATCTTCCAATATAGTTTCCCATATATGTTCCCATACCTTCCATTGATAGATGATCTTGCCCCATGATCTGCGCAGAAATCCAGGCCTGGGACCGAGTTTGCTTCCGCGATGGCGTCCAACACTTCTGGCGCCGCGGCGGTGGAAACATAGGCCTGGAGCAGCCATGCCAGGGGGTTGGGATCAGTAGAATTTGAACACTTCACCAAAAGAAATGGAGACATTCACCTAGGAAACAAATATCTGGGTATAAATTATAATATTTCACTAACCTGAATTAAGGCCTTTTGGGGATTATTTCCCCTACTAACTATGATTATAGTGAGGTCGCAGTGAGGACGTTATAATTTACCCAGAAATATCTGCATGGCTAGTTTCTGGAATGGGTATGAAACATGTCATTTGATTTAGTGGTGTGGTTCTCACGTCAAACTAGCTGCTATAGTGATGACTGATATGGATATCCCTTCGAAGATGGTGTTAGCCCCGATAATCCATCACGATTTGCCATGGGTATGGATCAACATTTAAGACCCTGAAAAACTATGAAAAAAACACGAAAACCCACAGGTTTTGGCCATTTTTTCGGAACTTCCAACCCACTTTTTAGGGTCTCCCAAGTTTGACCCATGCCGTCAGTATCACCACCAAGTTGTCCACCCAAGTCAACCCAGCACAATAAAGCTACGGAACTTCGAATACCTCAGGTAATCAAACATAGCAAATGAAAGTCCCCTATATCTATATATATATATATATATATAACAATGAATTAAAAAAATGCAAAGGAAAATCCACTATATATATACACATCATTGTACATATTATTATTACTATGATTACTATTATTATTATTAATTATTATTATTATATATATAATATAGTGGATTTTCCATAGCAATGCTTCATTGCCAGAGGGTATTTGTCAATTGAATAAGTAAGAGTTGTCACTACGTTGAGAGACCCCCGCATCAATCCAGTGTGTTTTCAATTTGGGGATGATTGTGACTGATTCCAGATTCAATATAGAACAATATCAAAACTAAGCATGAATACTGTAATCACCTTCATCTCTGGGAACAATCATGAATTGTCTGACTAATTAGTATATAGTCCAATAGTAAATTTACCCGGTTGAGTTGATGACAATCATGACTATTCAGACCCTCCGGTCATATCGGTCATTTAACATATACATGGTATAGATGACCCATTTAGTTCGATGATTTTCCTTGAACAGACTGGCAATTTCCATACCTGTGATAAACTAGCAGAGGGTACCCTTTGGATATTTAACATAGCCATGGAACATCACCATTTTATAGCTAGGTAAATATTCACAAGTCAATGGGCCATTTTTCATAGTCATGCTAAATAATCAAAAGGTACATTAAAATCATACCTCTTCAATTTCTAATGTTTATAAGAACGTTATTTAATTTAATGGTTCATAGTTTATTTGAACAAATAACATTAAGAGAGGGTTTATTCAAGGAGGTCCTAGCCATTATTTCCAGTTATATTCCCATTCATAGTCCCATTAATTGACACCATCTTTCACGGTAAAATCACAATTTTTAATGCTAAAATCCCCATGTTTTAGGGTGAAGCCACCATTCTTCATGGCAAAAATCCCCTTTCTTTCCAGTTCTGGACAGTTGAAAATCCATGACCTCCAAATCGACCAAGTCTCCCGGCCGCATCGCCCAGGGAGGGCGGCCGTTCGGGCTCACCGCCTGGGAAAATGCATGGTTGGCGCCTTCAAACCGCTGGATAGTGAGGCTACTCAAAAGGCGAGTGGAACACATTGGAAGGTCGAGGCATTTTTAGTGAGAAACATATGGCAGTGGGTCAAAACCTTGTACCCCTGGTGAACCCCAAAATAGCTGGTAAATGGATGTTCATCCCACTAAAAATGGTACTTGTAGGTATTGATCCATAGCCATTTAAACATATTTCCTGAAAATGTGGTACCAAAAAAATCCTATGGTGTGTGCTGTCATGATTTTCCTCGTGTACCCGGTAGCATTACGATTTGATTTCACCCCTTTTCCAGATTTCATGAACATAGCTGGCGAATGGACACAGTTTCCACCTTGGGATTCCGCGTGTTATCCTGTGGTACACTAACGTAACTATGGAAAATCACCATTTTTAATGGGAAAATCCACTATAAATGGCCATTTTCAATAGCTATTTTGACATAACCAGATGGTATCCTGTGGCAAGAATCTCAGCAGCTCCAAAGATTGGGTCCGGTGAAGAGTGGTGGAATTCTTTCATTGATCACCTCAAACTGCCCGAGAACTGATCCATGGCTGGATCGCTGCATCGATGGCATATATCATCCATTTTTTTCCAGTTGGGGAAGTGATTCAGAGGCAAGACATGTCATAACTGAAACAAGAATCAACTGTAACTACAGAAAAAATATATATATATATATATATTGAACACAGATAAAACATGATAAGATTGTGTAAACCCTAAATTGATTAACAATCACATCACAAACTGTCATAACCCCACTTACTAAACAGTTACTAAATGGGTTGATCCTCCCAATGGCCCCTGCTCCAAACATGTGCGCCGGCGCCTCTGCTCGAGGCACTTCGTGGAGTCCGAGCAGACAAAGCTCCCGAACCTTGCAGGGCGGAGGATGGGAGAGCAATTTAGCAGCTATGAAAATCACAATTTTTAATAAGCAGATCATGGAACTTCAATGGGCCATGTTCCACAGCTATGCTATGTTGGTTTACTGGAGGGTATCATTTTGTAAACATTGACGATGAATCACCGATCCGAAATGAAAATTAATATAACTCAACCTGAAATAAAATGTATCGATAGGGCCGATAGGGGATTTATATGAAAATTTCCCATCTTCAGGGGACGGGAAAAAAAATCTGCCACAAAATATCGGTTCCAGTTTTTCGATCACCCATTGAATCCCATGGTGCTAGTGCCTTTTTGGATGAACTACAACACAACTTTGAATGATGTTTGTGAGTTGTTTCGCCTCCTATTCTGACCCACAACCTATAATGAGGGCGCTACAACTCACCTTCATCCAAGGTCTTGCCAATCATGAAACTTGTGAGGAATGAACATGCGGAGAAATCAAAATGATGGTAAACACGACAACCATGTTGATGATGACGACGATCGTCATTCGTCGTCATCATCATCATCGTCGTCATTATTATCAATGCGTTCACTATCCATCGTTCTTGGAGGTCAGAATTACCCCGAAGACACGGATGGTCTCAAATCCTCAAACATGACCACTTTTGGGGATCCAACCAGGTAACCCACCGACCTTGACCCTCCTTTGCTCCCGTTATCTTCCCCTTCCGACCTGGCTTGCCCATCACCGGCGTTGGAAGTCTGGCCTCAGAGGTGTCGACTAGTATGTCACAATATGTCATAAGAATCATGTTGTAATATCCAATTGTTGAATGGTTTTTCCATTGTTTTTCTGACATCCCCCAAGACCTCCTATTAATGATGACTCCTCCCAGCTGCGAACTGTTTGCCAACTCCAGCGACACTAGGTGATTTTGAGACATTCTTGTCTATATACAAGATCATATATACACGGTATACACATCTACATAGTCATGTATACATAAACATGTGCATCAATATGTGTATATATATATACACATATGATGTTAGGCATGGTTATATACATACCCGAATGATATATTACGATTTGATATAATACAATGCAATATAATATCATAATATAGTATTACATGTTAATACCATGAAATCAACTATAGCAAATAATATTGCAAAACAACACAAAAAATAATATCATAGTTTGCTATATTACACTTTAATACATTGGATTACATTATATTATATCATATTGTAGTATATCATGTTTAACTATGTTATATTACGATACTACATTATATTCTATCAAATCAAATTCATATTATATCATACTACAGTAGATTATATGATGTTATATTGCACTATATTCTGTTATACCATAGTGTATTGTAAATTGTAGTGTCTTGTATTGTAAAATGTATAATACACTATTAGTTATGTTATATTTTATAATGTTCCGTTATATCATATTAAATTGCATTGTAGTGCAACATGTTGAATCGAAACATATTATGTCAGATTACATCATTCCATTTTTATAAAAATACATTATATATACCATATCATATTATATCATACTATACTTTATGTTATATTATTAAATTATATATATACACTATATTGTACAAGATTAAACTACTTTACAATATATTGGATATACTATGTTATACTATGTTATATCATACTGTATGATAAAATATCAACATTACATGACATCTTTACATTACATCACATTACAGTGTTAGATCACATTATTTTAAACTATACTATATCTTACACGAAAAAAACGAACCATATCGAGCTGCACTACAAAGGACGATTGAGGCAGTGACCATCAAGATGTTTCTTCGCTCTTGTGGAGTGCTGGTTGTGTACCTCGCGGGAGTCCAGGGCTCTGATGTAAGGGACGTCTACAAGGTGGGGGCGAGTTGGTAGATACATCTATGGTTAATTTAAAGGAGTTTATAATTATTTAGTATAAAAAAACTTTTAAAAACCGGGGGGTGCAATAGTGCAAATTAGTGCACCCTTCTGACCATTTTCTTTCCCACAGAGGTTTCACCTGGCTGTCAGGTCACGCTGACACCGAGTAGCATGAGATCGCATCGTCCTCCGGCCTTGGTTTTTTGCCGCTCTGAAGAGCGGGAATTGGAGATGGCACAAAATCACTACTCTCCGGGAATTTCACATAGCAAAGGTACAGATGACCCATTTAGATCCAGTTCCATGATTTCCCTACTAAAAATGGCAAATTTACATAGTTATGTCAAACTACCAGAGGGTAGCCTCCCCAACTTGGATGGAGTGAAATCTCCATTTGTATGGTAACGACTTGAGTCGAATTCTGAACGGAATCCTCCGCTGAACATAACAAAAACAGTTGAACCATTGAAACAAAATATCCCATCACATTCTATATCGTTTGGTAAATAGATATCCCATGGCACCACGGTATCCCATGTATCCCGTGAAAATTATGGACTAGATTCTGCGAATCAGTTCGCAATCAAAGAAAGAGGTAGAATCAGACCATCGTCGTCCCATCTGCTGGCAGTTTTTTAATCCCAATGATCCCCTTGGTTGGTAGCAGAAAACGTGTACTTTTCTTAATTGTCTAATATATGATGTATTACACAATTGCAATGACTCTATACTGGGTCAAACAGTCCATCTGTGGTCCCTGGTCCCGTTGGCTCATAGAAACACTATATGACAATGTGTAGTACATGTTTGAAACATATGAACTCATGAAACAAGTCTGTTTTCATCATGCGTTTTTTGGTAGCAGATTATTCATATATATATATAAAGTACATATACGTGTATATATGTCAGAACATGATACATATACAATTCGTCTCTTTGGTGAAATAACAACTTTTTTTTTGGCGGCCGTGGGCACTCAAGTGTCCGTGGGCCCGCGTTGCGACTGCAATTAAAAGGTCCGTGATAACAGGTGGCTGGTGGTTTTAACTCATCAAAAAATATATATATATAAAATTCAACCAATCATCCCAAATATGGCTGAAAAACAATAAATACTCGGCTATGGATGGCTATGGAGTAAAAGCCTGGTATCCTGAAGTTCACCCCAAAATAGAGGGTAAGTGGGTGTTCATTCCCCCTAAAAAAATGATTCAATCTGATTCAATAGGTTTTGGTCCATCCCAAATATATTGGTCTTCTCAACCAATCATCTCAGGTATGGTTAAAACAAAAATGCAATGAATAGATTCAATCTGGGCAAATTACAATAATTCACTAACCTGAAATAAGGCCATTTGGGGATGATTCCCCTTACTAACCATGATTTCCAGGGTTCGGTCGTAGTGAGGTCGTGATCAAATTTACCCAGAATTCAATAGATAAATCCAACGCACCCCCATAACTATAGGTATATACCATGATATATCTACAAGGTGGTGCCCCCAAACGTTATAAATTGGTTTATAAACCCCATGAACTATAGATATATCAGATATATCACCAACAAAAACCATAGTGAAATTGGAGTTATGTTCACCAACTGAACGCTATCGTTTGGGGGCACCACCTTGTACCATAAACCATACTTCACGGCCAAGATTCGGCGTCGCCACCGTCTCTGCACGTGCGGAGATCGGCTCGATCGGCTCGTTGCACTGCGAGGAAGTCTGCAACGCGGTCGAAGCGGCAGTTGGTGTTCTAACTTCTACCCTCTGGTTATTTAACATAGCCATGGAAAATCCCTTATGAATGGAGGTTTTAATGGGAAAATCATCTATAAATGTCTACCCTCTGGTTATGATTAACATAGCCATGGAAAATGGATGAAAATGGCCCATTTATAGATGGTTTACCTATTAATAGCATGGTGATTTTCCATGGCTATGTTAGTCATAACCAGAGGGTAACAATCGGTAATCGGTGAGATCTATTTGGTTCTATGGGTATTTCTATGGTTTTCCGGGATTTGGCCAACAGATATCAACAGATATCAACGTTGTACTGGCGGTACCAAGCTTCAAAACAACGGTTAAATAACCCCTACATGATGCTTGGTCAATGGTCAACGGTCTGTGGTTTCTCCGACTTGGGATTGATCAATAAAAATGTCCAAAGACGGGGATAGACCGTGATAGACCCAGCAAGACCCAGCAAGGAGCTTCAAGAGTGGAGCTACCCTCTGGTAATTTAACATAACTATGGAAAATCACCATGCTATTCATGGGAAAATCCACTATACATAGCCATTTTCCATTGCTATGTTAGTTCACCAGAGGGTAGATACTTTCAATCCACAAAAACAGGTTTTGAAGATCTTGAAAGTGAGGTTTTGGGAGGACAGCTTTGATGGAAAACCCGCCAGGCCTCAATTCCAGCGCCCTGGATCAGTAGTGAGCCCTGGCACCGTGCAAAGTTGCTTCGTGGGGATTCCCAACTCATGGATGATGATCATCGCCAATATGTTGGGTGGGATAAAGTCATAATCCTAAAATTGGTTGATTGGACATTGGAGTTGTTGATGCCTTTCAAAAACATATGTCATATTGACATCTATTGACATATATTGACATGAAACCGCAATCTACATACTGTAACATGTACGTATGCAGATAATGTACATATTTGCTGATGCTAAGGACATCTAAGGACAATCGCACGCCTCCGCCACAAGCAGGAGTTGTTTGGCCAAAATGTCTCAACCAGCAATGTATCGGAGCTGTCCTTTCACTGTAAATATCGTCGAATGGCTTCCATGAAGTTATGAGAATGAAGCTTCAAGTCTCGGTTCAGGGCGCTATTTTCTTTTCCACACCTTTCTTACACTTCATTCTATCAAAAACAAAAAAGCATCCATGGCGGTGACTCAGGTGGTTAGACATGGTACAGAGTCAATGGTACCCTCTGGTTTTTCTTAACAGTTGGACCCTGAAATTCACCAGTTTTTAGTGGTTTCACTAGTCTTCCAACCCCGATGACTGCAGTTATGGCCATTTATTAGTTATAACTGGTTATAAATGGGATTCTACATTCTATAAATGGTGTTTTCTTAGTACTTATAACTGTTACTTCGGGCCATAACTGTGGCAGGGTCGAACTGTTAATTTACCAGAGGGTAAATCCATGGTAAATCCTCGGGATTTCGTGATTTTTCCGTATTTTTCCAGAGATGTCCCATGGATTTTTCCCAGGGATTTCCCCATGGTTTTCCAGCGCCCTGCGGAAACCTCGTTGTGCCCGGAGGCTGCGGAGGAAACCTGCTGTGGAGCGTCACGATTCCTTGGTTTGGATATGATATATAATAATTAATGATGTTATATAGTACTACATTATATAATCATTATTCCTTGTACATATATAATGAAGTAATAATGATCATAATGATAATAGTAATGGCACCAATTATAGTGATAATGATGATGAAACAATATCAATATCATAATATCATTGATATCAAATATTTGATATTGATTATCATCATTAGTATCACTATATTAACATAGATTAAGTGCAACAATAGTGATACCAATAATGATATTGATAATGATACAGATAATGATAGAGTAACTATAATGATGATAAACTAATGTAGCGATGACATAATACAATAATATTCACATAATATATATATATATATATATTCATATAATATAAATAATATTCATAATAAATGGCATGATATATGTTTCAAACACACAGTTCATTATTACTATATCATCAATACAGGCAAATGCAAGAAAGAGGCAATGATTACTTGATGCATAAATTAAATGAAACTAGTGAACAACACCTAGAGCTAATCAGACTTGTTAATGTGGGAAGGTGTGTGAAGATACCTCTAGTAATCTATAGTCTTGCAGTGGACAATTCCCCGTAAAAGTGTCCATTTCTTGCTGGCTTTCGAATTCACTCCAGTAAATGAATATATATATATATAGATATAGATATAGATATAGATATGGAAAAGCCTTGAAAAGCCACGGTTTTTCCCTCTGACATGATCCAGAAATGTGATGGATATTCCAGCCATGCTTGGGGTGAAACACCAACGGCTACTGCCAGCACCCTAAACCCTTGTGGCTAGAAATCTACCCCGGGCCCCGGGCCTCTGCTTCTCGTCGTTTTCGGAAGCCTCTACTGTTGCACCTTTGAGGCTAGGGCTGTGGTCCCACAGGGATGATAAAATCTGTGAAGATCTGCGAAAAGTTGCGCTGAGTTCGGCCACTGGTCTCGGTACTTGGACACCAAGAGATCCTGCTGGACATGAATCCGACATGAAGTGTTCGGAATCTGGGTATACCTTGAAATGAGGCATTTCAAGATATTTTGGAAAGTTCTATCCTCTGGGAGTTGCTGGTCACTGTCCCAATTTCCACCCAGTTTCCACCCAATAGTTCTGAGCCATTGCCGAGTCGAATGCCTTCATCAATGGCTGGTTGGTTTCATTCCCCAAATCCATCTGACAAAGTGGCGCGGTCTCCGATGGGTTTCCCGTCCTTTTCTCTCTCTCGGAAAAAGATTCGTTCGAGCCGACTCCTCCTGCTACAGGGCCCAACAAACCATGACGGGAAGGCGATGTTCGAGAGCTTGGTATGCGGGATTCCTACGATCCCAAAGCGGGCCCCAAGACTAGGTAGATAGGTTGATAACGACCATGACTCTAGGACTCTAGGATTCATGGTGGATATCTATGGATATTTCATGAGATTTCTACAGGATTCTACAGTTGAATAGGTTTATAAACCAACTGATAGCTGGGAGGGGGCCCACGCGTCCACCTCATTGAACATAGCCAGCGGGGAAGTGTTCGGATGAAGCACCTCCCACTGGATAAATCCACTCTTGATGGATAAATCCACTAAGAATTTAGCCAGTATACCCTCTGGTTATTTAACATAGCCATGGAAAATAGCCCATTTATAGTGGGTTTTCCCATTAAAAATTGTGATTTTCCATAGTTATGTTAGTTTACCAGAGGGTAAATCATAGTAAATCTATCTTTCCTCAGTGTTCGTGTAATTATTGGATTTATTCATATTTATTATGCTACAGATTGCTACAGGCTTTTGAGATCTCCATTGCCCGGTAGCCCAGTCTCCTCTGTTCGGCGGAATTCGGTGGAACTAACCTGGACAAGGAGGACCGACCCTGCTCTGCTTGTCAAAGAGGCGAAGGATGGTGAATATTCCAAGACTGGTTGCTGTGTAATTGGCTGAAACTCTTGGAGGTTCGTCACTTTGCTCCAAGTACACGTGTGTAGTTGTTGAATGTTACTTGCTGCCGTAGCAGCCGTAGTTGTGACTTGGAAACTCCTACAGATAGATGGCTTCAACCTATCCTAAAAGCATGAAGCCCTTAAAATCACCCTGAATATGGTTGAGAAATATCTAAATCCCTCAACTGGTACTGAAGTTCTAAACCATCCCACAGCGCTGGCACCGGCTGGGGAAAAACCCCACCTTTCGACTCCCATCGACCTGCATGGCAAAGTCTTCAAACACTGGGGCTGTTTCTGAACACAAAACACTATTTGTTTGATATTGTTTGTGTTGATCTACCTCTTGATGGCAAAAAAAAACATAAAAAAAACACACCTGAGCCTGCCTTTGCTTGGTATATATGTATATATTATTATATACATATATCATATATTATATTATATATATATTATATTTTATTATATTATACTATATCTTATATATAATTATATATAATTATAAATTATACATATGTATACTCTGAACACAAGGCTTGTTTGTGACGATCTAGTTCCCAAAGCTTGACACAGTGCAAAATCTTCCCTTCTGCAGCGCCTCGAGGCCGTGACGCGACTGTCGCAGTGACAGTGGCCTAGGGCCGAGCGGTACCAAGGATACCAAGGTTGCCAGGAAAAGTGTTGATGAAACATACCCTTTATCCACCATTTATAGAGGTTTTCAATCATGAAACATCATAAATATGGTGCCATGATTGATAAATCATGAGTTGATGATTATATTCATTTTTCATAGGGATTTTTCAACAATCAAACTATGAGGATAGAAGGTGATATACCCTCTGGTAATTTAACGTAGCTATTGAAAAGGGCCATAGAAATAGTGGATTTTCCCATTGAAAATGGTGGATCTTTCCATAGCTATGTTAAATTACCAGAAGGTAGCTTCCAGCATCTTCCAGCACTAATCCGTCGATTTTTTCTCATGACAGGCGATTGTTTCCAAAGAAATTTAAATTCAGTCCTTCAACTAGACAGATGCAAACGCAGCTTGAACGCCTGTAGGGGTATGCATCCCATGTTTAGCCTGTTTTCATGGGCTTCACTGTGGTCATTCACGATATATTTCCCACCATTCCCATCAGAAATGACCACAGCCCAGGTGTCCGTGCACACCGCGCAGCCGGCAGCCGGGCTGAAGCTACTGAGCCAAGGGGCTTGGCAAATCTCTCGATGGGCAAAGTCTGAAAAGGTCAGAGCTAAGGATGCCCATATGGTGGTTGCATGTGGTTTCCAATCCATGGGGGTACCCCTAAATCATCCATTTTATAATTCAAGATATTTCAAGTGTCCATTAAGCATCCAGCAAAAAATGGGTATCCCCGCCATGCAATGAAAACCCCCATATGTTCAGCAAAACCATATAGGGAACTGTGATGCCCGAGTCCAAGCATAGACAGACAGAAGACGACTCATGTTGTCACAACTTGACACCATCACATCACATATCCACATATGCATCATATGTTTATAATAATTAAGGCACCAGAAAGATAGATTAAGTAAATCCTTACCAAAAGGCAAATCATGGCAAAACACGCTTCTCCCTTTTTGGAGGTTGCTACACACATAAAACTATAGGAAAGGTCCCCAGTAGATCGTCAGGCTGCGGGCTGCTCAAACACGTTTTCACGATGTGGCGCTCGATCGTCGCACTGCGCCCGAAGCTTTCCAATCCCAGGAGAGAGATGTTGGAGGCTCCTCTGCAGTGCAATTTGGAGGGTGCCAAGTGACCCTCAGTTGCCCACTTTGATATTTCATGCCGTACTAAGTCCAAAGAATGTGATGCCGATCTCATTCGATGTCATGATTCTGAGACTATTTCCGCCATATCCTTCCACCAATTATGTATATTCTTCAGAAGCAGAATCCCGGCACCAAATCGCAGTCGCACAACTTGACATCTGATATGGAAGCATCTGTGGCCCAGATCTTGTTGTAGGGGTCACTGCCCCTCCCCCCCACCCTGGCCTCACATCAAGTAGGAAGGTTGCCCTTCTTGTAGCATGGGGCGCGCTGCCTCTTCAGATTCAGCATGACACTCACATGAATTACGCACAACAACTTGAAACATTTCCATGCTCTGTTTGTGGCCATGATTTCTCTTTTGCTCACATTTTTTGGCCCTGTCAAATTTCAGTTCATGGCATTTTTCGGTCTCAACTCTCAACATCCATTTCAACAGCCGCCCAACTGGCGGTGTTCTCCATGGCCATGGCCTCCACTCAAGTTCTCTCGACTGCGCGTGTGACCAGGCGGTTCAATCCTCGGGCGCATGAAGCAGTTGCTGATCGATCAGCGTCTGCGCCACTTCCAGCGGAGTCAAAACCTGGCGCGAGAGGATGGTCAAACCAATGATATCAATGATAAACCATCCCCAATAAGGCCGTAAATCCCCAAATGAATGGTACAAACCATCGCCAAACCATCGCCAAATAGGTGGCCATGATGCGGCAAAGTACCCCATCACCCATCCAGACTCAAAATTTTTGTTTCACCATCCCGGCAGAGCCAACAATTTAGACATTTGTGATGCTCATTCCACCCAGAGATGGATCAACAGGTACCCTCTGGTAATTTAACATAGCATTGAAAATGACCATAGAAATAGTGGATTTTCCCATTGAAAATGGTGGATCTTTCCATAGCTATGTAAACGTTTACCGGAGGGTATTTGTCATTGTCTTAAGTGCCGACTTGTTTCACCATCCCATTTTGGGAGCTCCTGAGCTCCGGCCTCCCGAGCAAAGTTCAGACCCAGGTTCCTCTGTCTGGCAAGGTCTCGGAGATCTTTCCGGCACAGCCACCTGACACCCAAGGAAATGGGATTCTTCGACTGGGAAAAGCCAATGAAATGGGATCTAAATGGATCTAATAAATTTCAAATTTAGGGACCATGATACCCAAAATACCCAAGATGATGGGACATCAGAATGGCGAAAAAAAACGCAAAGATGCACAAAGCACCTACTATACCATGTTGACCTTCGGCTGTACAAATGCTCATTACACAGCTTCAGGATCATCATCTCAGAGTTTCTGTCTTGCTCCACTCGATGAAGGAATACCTTCGACTCATCCTTTCATTCCAACAAAGCGCAATGGTCCGAATCCAAACGAGTCTGTTGGATAAGCCAAAGCAACCAACACCAGAAAAATCTATCAACATCAACATCGCACAAAAAGATAAACACGTCAACTAGATGGTTGTTTCCACACATCCCCCAAAAAATGGTAAATGTGCATCATCTTCCAAACGACTTTCTGAAAAATACAAACACAGTAACTGACATGCGAAACTGCCCTCTAGGAAACTAATATAAAGTAGAACATCGACCATTTAGTAGGTCATTTTCCAGGGAATTCACCGTAGATTACAGTACCATAGCTTTTCTATGGAGGATACCCCAGCAGTGCCACTACCAGGTGATCCTCCACTTCCCAACCTGAAGGACTCCTCATAGGGATTTGGGAAGTGCTCCTCCTGCACCGTACGAAGCTCTTGAAGCTCTTGGCTGTGAGCTCACCACATCTGACCGAGCATAGCTATGGAAAATCACCACTCTAATTGGGTAAACCATCCATAAATGGGGCCATGTTTGTTGGAGGGTAGGAGGAATGACCAAGCCAATAATCAGGTACCCTACGGCAATCCGTCTATACGGGATTTTCCCATTAAGATCATGAAAGCTATTATAAGGGATGTTCAATTGCCATGTTTGATTACCGCAGGGCAATGCGGTAAACCAGTACCGATTGGGGTTTATTGTTGGGTATACCCGTATCAGGGATGATTAAAAAGGACCCCCTTAATGGATGGATATGGATGGTTTCTGGGATGGGTGCTGGGATGATGGTGTATCCCGTTCATATTCAACACCCCTAAGAAACCATGGTGGATATGGGGCATTTAGGCCATTTAGGATACTCAAAATCCCACAAATTGATAATCGTAGGATGTCCTGACATTATCCCTATCGTATCCAATCTTTAGCTCCTGTCGTGGTCCCCCCGCGTCCGCTCCTTTGGCGGGCAGTACCAGGCAAAGCAATGTGCGATCAAGAAACCTGAGGAACTCCGACGCGGTGCTAGCCATGGGTAAGGGTCAAGATCAATGGGGTATGGCCATTACGATGGAAAACTTTGTGGGATCATTACATGATATATTATATATATACACGTATTAATGGGGGCTATCATGCTGGCTGAATTGGGATGTTTCCCCTAGTCCTGACCATTTTTTTGACGTCACGTCACAGTGAGGTCGATGTAATTTACCCAGATACATGGATATAATAAAGCAGCTATTTTGCAGAAGATTCTCAACAGCTCTTGCCTGGAGTCGCGAGTCTTCAATTCAGATACCTCGAGGGGTCTTTTCAAGAATGTAGCACTCTGCCCCAATGGTAGAAAACTTTGAAACAAACGGCGGGTATGCTGTAGATATTGTCTTTATCACATAGTGAAAAAAAGGCTGCAGATATCTGAAGATAAAAGATCAAACAACATGATTCATTAAAAGTGTATAAATAAACACATTATATATATATATATACGTCTATGTATGTGGTATCATCTTAACCAGTATGGATATGTTTTTGCTGCCTCCAAGTAGCTCGAGTCCGCGGAGGACCATGCTGAGGCGCTTGCAGTAATGGGCACCTTGCGGCACAGTGGCCATTTAAAAGAATCTCTTTACACAGCAACCAGTAAATTCCCAAAGAGTCTATACTAAATTATATTGTATAATCATGTATCTGTATGACTGTATAACTAGGTACAGTTGGATAAGACTGATCCGCAAGATATTATTGAAGTCTGCTGAAACAGTGCAGCACAAAATAGCCATGTCCGTTTGAAAAGCTAAGCTGAGAATGTTCCACATGCGTCAAGATGCCCACTGGGTGCCAACGAAGAAATGAAGCCTTGGAACGAGCTCGTGGCAATGACCAGCATTCGGATTATCCTCAAGATCACTACAGTTGGAATTTGGGTGCTCCCAAACGGTTCTTGATTCTCATGTATATATATATATACATAATATATATATATACACATAATATATATATATATTATATATAACAGAATCGAGTTTCATACAGTGCTATCCACTTTTTTCTATAAGAAACTGGTATACTGTATATACATTTAGTGGAGCCGGCACATACGTCTTGAGGTCTTAACATGTAGAACGGCATCAATACAAGACCTGTGGCCTTCAAGTCTCATACAATCAGCAGAGCCAGCACTCGTCACTGGTCTGTCTGTACAACTACCTGGATCAAGCATCACGTGTCCATACAAATCCACTACTCGCAGTTGCCAAGGTGATATCACCTCCCTTAAAACTGGCGAGAGTTTAATGGCAAGATCTGCCAAAATCCGTAGATCCTACGTAAGGGTCGCAAGCCTTGAATTGGAGACACAAGTTGCTAGGTGTCCCCACACAGGATGGTTTTATATGAAGAACACGTATGAAACATGATCCCTCATTCTGGTTCCCAATAAGTTTTAAGCTTTGACCCATGTCATATCTGAGCGTTAGGTTGCCCTTCGGATGATTAGAATCCTCAAGTTTTCGTTGTTGAAATCCCAATGCACAGCGGAGAAATGAACGCACCTTTTGTCGGTGTTTGCAAGGCTCAAGGGCCCTACGTCGGAGCCCGGGCAGCGATGGGACAGCTGGATTCCACATGTCACTTGGGTTTCATGTCTTGTGATTCACATCCTTCAGGGGGACAATCTAAGTGACCCATGGAATCCCTTGCCAAAGCATATCGGCCTGATGCCAGAATCTTTCTAAGAAGTGCCCCATTTCCAAGCCTCTTTGTGAGGGGGTCTGCTATCATAGCACTTCCCGGCACCCAAAATGTCTTGACCTTCAACGTTCTGGCACTAACGCAAATCACAGCTACGTCGATCTGAGCACGTCTACAATGTCCGGCATTCCCGGATCTTCTGTTCAAAAGATCGTACAAGGCTTTTGCATCAGTCACGTGAATTCCATCTTGTTCATCACAAAGCCGTATGCTGGCTACGCTCTCCTCATCGTCAGGCTCGCGCATCACCAAGACAGACTCTTCGCAACCAAAACGTGAGTTGTTCATGATCTGGCTGTTACGGTCCATCACTTCATGCCACAAGGCACGGACCCATTCAATCTCTGCTAGAGCATCGTCCATTGCAAGAGCTTCAGAACCCAATGTGGCTTTGATGACACGCTTCAACCTGTGTGATCTCCAACTGTTGATGCTAAAATCTGCAGCTTTTCCTTCCAAGATGTTCTTGTTCACCAGGGCGATGATGAAACCTCCCTGGGACTTGTTCTCTACGTTGGCCATCGAGGCATCTGCTACACTCATCCAGATGGATTGATCTGGAGGCACTGGCAGTACTCGTAGAACAACTTCAGGAGTGGCTTTCAACTCAGCAACGGTCTTATTGGCCATGAGGATGTGCTCCACCGTCGGACCACTGGACGACCAAGACATAGCCATTGCGCAGGCTGCGCCAACATCAGGTCGCCCCTCCTTTCCGACCCATAACAATGAGCCGCCCACACCACGCAACCATGTGATCTCCTTCTCAGTAAGGAGCGCAGTCTTGTCTTTCAACCTGTCTTTGGGCAAGGTGACAGGCTTCAACTTCTCAACAATGTACCTGCGCATGGAGACCTGGATCTCATAGTTGGGCATCTGTCGTAGTGTACGACCAATGTACTCTGCTGAATCTTCTTCATAGACATCACGCCATTTTCCAAACTTCAGTCTGGAACGCAACTGGTTCATCAGCTCTTGGTGCCTAGCATTTCCACCTTGGCAGAAGTCATCCACATCAAGGAGGACAATCCCAGCAACGATGTACTTCTGGTCAGCTGCCTCATCTTCAGAAACCTTGAGGTAGTAGAGGCAAGGGTCAAAAACTGACTCCACATAGCCCAGTTCCAGCAAATGCCTCCTGACGGTCTTTCGCCAGACGGCTGGCGCATTCACCAGTCCATAGACTGCTGTCAAAACACGGACTATGGCTCCAGAATCATAACCGGGAATACCGGTCGGTGGCATCCAAGCAAACAAAGGACCTTGTTCGCGTTCATGTGGATCTGATTGGCCAAAAGCAGAGCTGACATCCATGATAAATAGCCGAAACTTCATGGAAGAAATCACTTGGAGACAAAGCATCACAGTTGTTGATGAAGGAGTTGGAGCATACCTTTCTAGTTCCAGAGAGTCTGGATCCTTGTGGCCCAGCAAAATCCATCGGGCTTTTGCTTTCCAAGTCTCACCCAACTCACCCGCTTTCTTTGTGAAAATAAAACGTGAAGGCATGATGCGGTGAGGGTATTCTCGCATGATCTTCTCTATGGTGTTCTTGTCTGTTTCAATGGCTATGGCATTGGAGTTCACGAGATTCTCTATCTCGGTGATCTTGGCCTCCACAAACATCTTCTTCTCACCTTCACTAAGCTTTTTCCAATCCAGCTCTTTCCCACTCTGTTTGGTCAGGTAGGTCAGGGGCTGGTCAAGTGGTTTGAGTTGGTAAAAGACATCGCTCTTGGCAACTTTTGGAAAAGCATCTAGATCTCTGGCGTTGGCGATCACTGGGTACTTGGTTTTGTTCCCCCAGTCAGTCACTTCATATGCACGCCAAACTCCAAAGATTCTTGACCGATTGGCTTGCCGGTCACTCAAGGCAGGCTCTTCCAATCCTCTTTTCATGCCGCTGTCGATGATCCTGGCATCCTCTTCAGGTTCTTTGCCTAGTGGTGCCTGTGGAACTTCAGGTACCTGGTTCAGTGGCTTGCCAGGGTCAGGATGATCAGGACAAGGCTTGTAGACCAAAATGGTCTCGATGTTCTCCACACCTGGTGGTAGGCGTTGATGTAGCTGCTTGGCAGACATCTCACCCACAATTGTCAAATCTTCGATGATCCTGCTGTTGTCAAGGTCAGTCGTGACTCTTCTGACCACATCATTCCAAAGAGGTCCATGGGAGTTGGTTCCACGGAACCGTTTGGCTGCCAAGTCATAGCGTGACCACGCTCGCAAGTCGCTGGTAGATGATGAGGAGCTTCCGCCAAGTCGTGGCATAGGGCTTGTCTTGGACTTCTGATTTTCCAAGCTGGCTCTCCAAAGCTCATCCATGTCATTCATCTGCTGCGGCGTGGCTGCTGCTTGTTGTGCTGTGTTTGATGGTGTAATAGTGGTATCTTGTTGTGAGAGTCTGGCTGCTGGTGTTGTAATTGGTGGTGGTGATCTTGATCGGTTTTGTGGTCGTGTTCCGGTAGATATAGTGGTGGTCGTAGTTGGTTCATCATTTTCATCCTGGATTTCAAGAGGTTGATCTTCTGTGGTTGGTTGGTTGTTGTGTTGTGTTGGTGGTGTCACAGGTTGAGGTTGTGATATCGTGGTAGTTTGTTGTTGCTGTTGTGTGACTGTTGGCACAATTGGAGTTTGAGGTGCTGCTCTCTGTATTTGTGGTGTTTGAGGCACAGGAGTTCTTGGGATCGGTGTTCTGGATCCTTCAGGGGGTCCTCGAGGTGTTTGAGGAACCCGGCGATGCACATCACTGGGCTGGTCAACACTAATTGCCGGTTGTTGTGATGGTTCATCGTCTTGGATTTCAAAAGGTCCTTCTCGTTCAACATCAATGTACCCAAGCTTCTCGGAGTTGAACCTCAGCCGCTCTTTGGCACAAAGGAGCTCAGCAGGAATGGCTTCTAAGCCCTGCTTTTCCATGTTCCCCATTCTGAACACCTGAGCTTTGTTGCATTTCCATAACTCACCCCTTCTGACAACCCAGACCGTATCACCTCGTTGAAGCACCACAAAGCAAGGACCAACCTTTGCCTGGTTCCCACGTCGTCCTTGGCGCCAAACGTAAACAGGCTCACCCTCAGAAAACTAGCAGTCTTCTCTGGCACGACGTGGTCGGGCTCGCAAAGCCCTGTTCAAACGCTCCTTGCCATCCACCTCCACAAGTGCCTTTCGAGCTGCTTGTCTGATCTCTTCTGATCGCTTCCATGCAGCATCTTGGGTCTGAGAAAACTCAAACTCGCCACTGTCATTCAAGTGCTCCATGTTGAGAGCTGGCTGTCGGCCAAAAACTCTCTGAGCTGGAGAATAACCACTTCGGTTTGTCAACGTCTGCAGTGCCCATGCAACTTCGTGAATCATGTCTTGGACTTCGCTCACATTGGCTGGTTGGCGAAGCTCACGAGTCTTGTAATAGACTTCCTTGAAAAGGCCACCTCTTCTCTCAGTCACCCCATTCTGGTATGGTGCATCCCGGTCAATCAGTATGGGCTGAATTCCATGTGATTCCAAACCTTCAATGAATTCGCCTTGAAATTCCAGGCCTTGATCCATGATAAGAAAACTTGGACTGCCAAAAGTCCTCAACCAGCTCTTGAGGAAAGCAGACCACACCAGTGCGGAACCACGTCTCGTTGGATGCACCATGGTGAAGGTGCTGTAAAGGGTTCCAACGCATGTCACATTCAGCACCGGATGTTCTTCCTGAGGACTCGCACCATAAACAAAAAGAAGGTCAACGCCCACGACAATGTTGAAGTCGTAGGTACGAGGTGTCGCTGCCGGTAAACGTGTCGGCTGTCGCTGCTCCTTCAAGCAGCCTTCACATGAAAACTCGCGCAAGACATACTGAATCACGTCCAGTCTGGTTCCTGCAGCTTTGAGCAAACGCACGAACTCCTTGACAGGTGGATGGCCCAAATTCACATGTGCTCGCAAAACCATACTCTTCTCTGCAGTTGTGACTGAACTTGGTGAACCCTCCGCAAACGTCAAAGAAAATTCTCCATGGTGAAAAAGAACAATCATGTGCTGATAGTTGATCTCAAATTTGGATGGCTTTCCAGTTCTGGCTTGTTCAAATTGGATCCACTTTCCATCCCAAGGATTCCTAACCCAGGTCCATCTCACATTTCTATGGCCAGGTCCACACGATGGAATCTGGTCAGGCTTGCAGACAACCAAAACAGCACTATCATGAAACTGCCGCCATTGCCACTTGTTGCGGCCAAGTTCATCGATCCATTGTTCCAAGTCACCCAAATCAGGCATGTGCTTGGGACGACCTTGTTGTGAATCTACCCAATCTTGGATGAGTCCATCAATGATCGCCTTGACAAGGGCTGGTGGATAGACTTGTGCTTGACGTGGAAGACCTTGAATCAAATGCTGATGGCCTTCGGTGCAGTTGCAAAGCTTCTGCAAACACACACCAATTGCATCACATGTAGTTGCAAACAAGGTTGACTTGCGGCTGAGCTTGCCGTTGAAGTTGAGGCCAAAACGGCACAAGTGAGATTTGATCAGTAGCACCTCATCATGACTGAGGAAACGTTGCACGCTTCCGAGGTTCCAAGAGGTTGCTGTATCGGGGTGTTCATGCAGACTAAGGTCTCCCCGTTCCAACTGATCTTCATGCATCTCCATGGTGAAGTCCATGTGCTCAGTCGCAGGAATCAATTCCTCCGCCAAGAGCTCTGGGTGAGCACGTATGTTCTGCAAAGGTGAGAACTTTGTGCAAGGTGGTGAGGTTGTCAGCAATCTGGGCCTGCGGCGTGACAACTCTTCTCGCACTTGTTGCTTCACCTCAGGTTTGCTGAGGTCATACCCGGTGTCAAGGTCAACTGACCATTCAGCTTGGAGTCCTCTTTTTCTGGCCTCCGTCACCAATCGTGGTGGACTGTAGAGCTCCACAATGGCGTCATTGGAGTCCTGAAGGCCACCACAGATCTCCACAATGTCATCATGACCATCCACCTCTTGCCACAAGTTCCAGTACACAGTCAGGTCACCAAGCATTTCATCAAGTCTGCCATTGATTTCAGCCTTGGTTGTTTTGGAAAGGGTGACCTCATTTTCGAACTCTGCCTCGGCCATGTAGTTGAAAAAGTCGGCAGAGAACTCATACAAGACCATATAGTGCACTGGGATCCCAAAATGGTAGTCATCGCCAGGTACTTGGCTAACCTCCACGGCACACCAAGACACATCACCGCTTTGGGTCATCACGATCCTGCGGCTAACAAACGTCTGAGTGACCACTGGCGTGACTCCCTTGACACAATCATCATATCCGATGGCTACATAAGTGGTCGTGGGATCAACTTGTAGGGTGTGGAGGATTTCATAGAAGGACTCATGCACATTGTTCTTCTCCTTGAAGGTGGAGAGCCAGCATCCCTGGTCGATCACAGGTATCTCACATTGAAACGATTCATTCTGCTGTAAAGCAACGGGAGTTCGAACAGCAGGATGGAGATGCCGCAATCTTGGTTCATGCATTGGACTTCCGTCTCGTCTGGCTTCTCCCCCACAGTCACTGGCATGAGTTCGTTGGATTGGCATTGAGGGCACAGCATGACACCCTGTGCTTCCACCAACTGTCCCGCCATCTGCATCAGGTGTAGACGGCACTGGGGATTGTTGCACTTCCAAAGCAACTTGTGGTCGTCCACATGGCGATGAAGGGTCACCTCCCCCATCTGGCAGAAGTCGCAACTCTGTGTGTGAGCTTGGTATGTCATCTCCATGGCGACATCCTCCTCCCATAAGGGACGATGCCAATCTTCCTCGATCTCGACTTTGACTTCTGCTTTGGGACGGCTCTTCGCTGCCGTGGGTCGTGGCATTGATGAGGCCTTGGCTGTGGCTCCAAGATTCTCGCTCTTTCGTTGGATCTCCTTGTTGATCTGTCGCTTGATGAAGTCCTGCTTCAGATAGACCAACGTGTGATTCCAGTGATTCAAATCGCTCACCGGAGTCAGGGGCATTGACTGCTCCTGGCCACAGTCGGTGCACTTGTTGTAGCTCACCAGTCGGTTTGCGCCATGCTTGGTGCTCTTGTGTGGACATTGAGGAGACTTCTCCAACTGAGGCACCAAGTATTTGCCGCGGCCCTGTATCATGGCCATCGGCCTCTTCCGGTCCTCGTCGCGGGACACATTCAGATCGCCAGGGGTCGCCATAGAGCTCGAGGAAGCTGCCTCTGCAATCATCCGTTGTTCTTGTTGAGCCAAGTTCAAAGCTTCCTTCTCCAATTGTTCCCGTCGATGTTGCAAGCGACGAGCACTTCGCAATTGGGGCTGGCGAGCAACTGACATCATCACTTGCCACGCTTGCAGGAAAGCTGAGGCGCAAAGCCGCAGCAACAAGCGCCGCCACCGGACCCATGGCTGAGCTGGCATGAGAAATTGGAAGTTCGCTCCAATTGGGGACTGTCTCGGTCGCCCAGGCTTGACTTCGTTGTGGTGAAAAATCAGCGGGAATTCGAAATCCACTGCCAAACTCAACTATGCTAACAGCTACATGACCTGTGTGTAACCTTTGCATCTGTTGTGTGATCCCCAGCTTCATGTACATGATCGTGGCATGCTTCATGTCAATGACTGCCTCAAGTTCCGTGAGGAAGTATGCTGGCAGGAGGAAAGGTATATCCCCAGGGACCACTTGTACTCGTAGTACTCCAGATCTTCCATTGAGGCCAATGGGCACATAGGCTATCTTGGTGGTTTCCTCCATGCCACATACGCCTCGTACTGTTCCCCCACACTCATGTGACCATTGAACCTGAATACCAAACTGTTCTCTAAGGAGTTGATCATGAGCAAGCAATGTGTCATGTCCCACAAGTCCATGTTGAGCTGCTGTATCTACCAATGCCGTTCCAGTTGACTTCTGAGTAGAGAGAAAAACAAACGACAAAGCACTGAATGACATGAAGGACTGCGGCACATATTGCTGGGACTCAGAGCTCTGAACGCTCTTGGTGAGAAACTGTCCAGCGACCTCTTTCGGCGGCTGACAGAAAAAACCAACGCTACTGCTCTGGGACATCATTGTCCCCTTTGATGAACCGGTGGAAGGTGCTGACTGCTTGGAGCGCAAAGGGCACTCTTTGCTCCAGTGTCCAATCTGCTTGCAGTTGTGACATCGTGATCTGGATTTGAGATCACCCAAAGACATCCGACTGCCTTGACGCTGCTGCCAAGGTCGGTCAAAGCCACGTCCATTTCGACTGGCCTGCAACATCCTTCTGTGCTCCAAATAGCCACCACCGCGGCCGCCACCAAAACTAGGCTTGCCTGTGCAACCAAACGTCTTCACGTGGGAATGACCACGGCCTTTCCCTTTCTTGCCTTTGCCTTTGCCCTTCAAACGATCTCTGGTCTCAAAGAAGATCTCCTCAAACTGGTGTCCAACGGCTTCCAAAGCCTCAGATTCATCCATGATGACTGGTAATTCCTGATGGAAAACAAGCTGCATCTCATCCGTTTCACCAAGGCAAACAAGATCATCAAAAATGGTCTCCTCATAGTCATTCAAATAGTCACCAGCAGCGTATGTCGCCATCTCATCATTCTCATCCCACTCGTCAGGCGGGTAGTCATCATCTTCACCCCAGTAGGTGGCACTGCGCCATCGCCTCTGAGGTCCCATTCCGTCAGCCATGGATACATCATCCAGTTTGTCGCCAAAGACCTTCTGAATCGCCTTCTCAACTTCTTTGTAGTCTATGCTACCATTGGTGACAACCTTCAGCCGCTGACGCTGGTCTTGGCTGAAAGATCCCTGCTTGAGGATCAAGTGACCCAGCAAGTGTCGGCCTGCTTGAGTGCCTAACAAGTCAAGCCCCTGCTTTCGCAACTCAGCAAAGGCTGCCTTCTTGTTGGCAAGGAACGTAGTCAACGGTTGACCTCGTTCTCAGCGGCCTCGAAAGATCGCCTCATCAAAAGCAGTTTCAAGTCTGTGGTCACGTAAATACTCATGAGCCTCTTCGATGATGTTCAGAATGGTCCTATGGCCTTGATCTGAAGTGATCTCATCGACAGTCAAATGGGCTAACATGGCACTCAACTTTGAACCCAACGGTATGCTGTCAATGATTCTCTTGCCAATCAAATTGTGGGGCAAACGTGCTTCTGCCTCAACCAACCAAAGCTGAAGATTTCGATGATACTCTTTATAGTTACGTTCAGGCGCATCACCACCCCAGGCCGGTGCTGGTTCGACCCGGTAGTCGACATACTTCTTGCCATCCCCACCAGTCGATCCCCCAGAAGACGCAAAGCCTCGACCATCACGATCAGGCGTAGCTGGGGTAGCAACACCAGCAGTGCCAAGAGCACCATTACCTGAGCGGACAGGCGAAGCCATTTGTGGTCCCCATACAGCAGGATCAGGTTCAGGTGGGAAGTCTTGAGGATTCACACTACCCCCATCAACTTGAGGAACAAAACCAGGTTGATTTCCAGGGTTCCCTTGAACTGGATGAATAGGTGTGGTTGCCCTAGCTGGTCTTTGAAAAGATGCCGTAGGGGTATTCAATGAAGTAGTAGCTCCTACACCTCTCCAAGTCCTATTAGGAACATCCGAAAATTCCATCTTCACCGCAAACGGCTAGCCAAAACAAGGAAAACTTCCCAGGTGAACTGGTAAAAGAGGGATTTGATGACGTAGTGTCTTCCCAACAAAACTGGTAGATCAAAAGGTTCAGGAGATAGGGCTATTCCCAAAGGCCAAAATTCACAATGGTAACTCCCCGGCGTGCGCCGGTCTTCAACGAAAAGGCAAAAGAGCCAGCAGCCTGGGGGCGTCCCCCCAAATGCAGCAACTGGCGCACACCGCGCGGGAGCCCCGGTCGTCACCGGGGCTCCGCTACCATGCACAGCGGAGAAATGAACGCACCTTTTGTCGGTGTTTGCAAGGCTCAAGGGCCCTACGTCGGAGCCCGGGCAGCGATGGGACAGCTGGATTCCACATGTCACTTGGGTTTCATGTCTTGTGATTCACACCCAAATATTTATGTGGAAAATCCTCATGCCTGATGGTCAAAATCCATCAAAATCCAATAACCCTTAGGTAAACTACAGTAACATAGCTATGGAAGCCATGGCCCATTTATAGAGGATATTTTTGGAGGATTTACGGATTTATCTAGTAAAACTGGTGATATTGCGTAGCAAACTGTTACAATCTGTTAAAATCCTATTAAACGACACATTTTATGTGGAAACTCCCTATCTTGGATGGTCCAAAATATGATTTTCCCATCGAAAACATAGGGATTCTTTACGCCAAAGTCTGGGCCCTGGGCTGTCAGGCCGCACTCCTCTTCCACCGCTCGAGCAGCAGCGACCTAGGATATTGGGAATATGAAACCTTTAAAAACGGTGATGAACATTGGAATTACCAAATATAAATGGGTATGCTGGTTTTCTTGAAATATCTTCCAATCTGATCAACCGATGGTGATAAAGCAAGATATACTTCAAAGTGACTAGATCCAATACCACACTCCGAGGGTTTCTGGCAGGGTGTTGGTTGATTGAGAGCAGGACGGGATCCGCAATATCATCTTCTATCTTTTTATCATTCTATGTCTATATCCATTTAATTCCATTTATACATCCATATTCATCCCCACTATATCCAATTAGGGTTGGTTGATCCACGATATTCCCATCGTATCCCCAGCCTGCCATCATATCCCATCCCAACCCCAACCTGCACAGCTTCGCCCACGTCCAGCCTCATTGAGGTGATTTCTTGAGATTTTCACCATCTGATGGGACGTTTGCCAACCCTTCATTGATTTAATTTTGCTGTTAATAATAAGTGATTTATAATAGTGATGATACTAATTGATTTATTTTTGATCTTATATATATATATGATTATGATTTGATGTGATTTATAATAGTGGATGAACTCATAAACTGTCGGGAAGACACCAGATTCCACTTGCGCAAGGCGATTGAAGAGAGATGGTGTCAGCGGAAATCCCCAGAACATCTTCGCTGAGAAAAAATGGGGTAGAGAGACACAGCTGAATAAGCAGAACGATCTCAAGTGTCACAAGCTCCTCCTCATAAACAAGTAAGTTTAACAAAGACTGCTCGCCAGTTTCATTCATTCCAACAAAAAGATACAACCCGTCGCAGCAGTAACAAGTATGTGCAAAACAACAAATTCTGAACCCAGCTGCCTAATGTTTGGTGAATGGATTGTCATGAATAATCGCCCCCTCAGACATCATCAAACCAAGAAAGTCCCCTTCTGGTTCTCGAGCCTCACCAGCGGCAGGCCAAAGTTCAAGCGCGGAGACTCCAGGGAGCCTCTAAAAGCATGGCAATGGCTCAGGTGACGGTGGTATTCATGTGATACAAGTCTGTAGCGTAGGTTCCCCAAAAGAGAGTAACAGAACTTAACAGTTATTCAATGAATGGGTATCATTAACAATTAATTATTGTTAATGATACCCATTAAAGATACTCATTCCTCAAAATAGTAGGGATTGACTTCTCTAATTTGGGGGGTTCGATTCGAGGGCAGCAGTACATGTGATCGCTCGGCGCGTAACATGACTGAAGTACTGGCACATTCAAGTCACATGTCGCTCAACGCTCAAAGAAGTGTTGAACAATCCCCAGTGAACATGTTTATTGAATATAATATACATGAATAATAATCATGAATATACATCTGCCCCCGTGCTTCCATCTTCCTCCATTTCTGGATCGATCGAGTAGGAGGAATTCGCGCGAGCCTGTCAAGTCCATCAAAGGTGTTGAACTTTGACCACAAATCTCTGGCTGAAGCTTGGAGGACGAAGAAACATCCGGGTCTGACTTGCAACATAGAGTACTAATGGACCCAAAAAATTGGTCATGTTTAACAGAATCATCTCCAAAATGGAGGTCCATAGTTTTGAATCACTGAACCAATCCCATCCAACCACCAAAACTTCCACCACCATACCTGTGAGCTGTTTTTTTGTTCAAAGCAAACTTGCGGTGCATGGCAGGCAACTAGGAACTGTACGGCTTCCTGGATCAAAAATACAGCTGCACTGTGTCTGGGCCCACAATCCAGATAGTGACAACAAATAAATGCAAATAACATATACCAGATAGCAATAGATAGCACCAATAGTGTTGACCTCCAGCTCATGCTGGAATAAGTCAGCTGATGAGTTCTCTGAAGCTGGCTCAACGAGATGGCCAAGGTGTGGTAGTGCAAGCTGATGTTCTGACTCAGGAGCTGTTGATAGAAGCGAACGCAACAGAAAATGCTCTGGATTCTGGAGCAAAGGTCTATTGCACTGCGTCCAGCGGAATGCTGAGGACGCAAGCTCTCATTGTCCTGTTTGAGAGCCATGAAACCAAAAACTACACTGTGCCAGGGCAGCACCAGTCCAAACCATGTAAGCAATTGATTCAACACTTGGCCAAAACTGCTTGCACAAGGCGCAGGTAACAAGGAATCAGACCATCCATCATCGAATTAGGGTTCGGTGGACTGCCCGCGACAAGTCAAATGCACGCCTCCACTCTGGTTGGTGGAGGCTGGTACCTCTATCTAATCAAATTTAATCAATGTATTTCCACACCTCTCCCTGCTCACATGATCGGCACATTGGAGGAACCGAAGAAGCCTTCATGCTGATGGCATACATGGAATAATTGAAGGGCTGGTTGCAACTGAGGCATCTTGTTGATGCAATACTCTTCTTCACTTTCTTCTTGCACGGAGGGCGCATCACTGCCTGATACTCGCCAATGAGGTCGACGTACCCCTGATCGCGCAGTGGCACAAAGCTGCTGCAGTACTCGCAAACAAGAGGTCCATGAGAAGAAAACCTCGATGAAAGCTCACCCGACTTGTCGGAGACAATGGAAACAGTTTCAGAAGCCACTCCCATCTGGATTGGTGATTTCTTCAGCTGCAAATTGTGGCAAATGTCGTTGCAGCAATGTCCCAAGAAGAACTGATCCATGCCGTCCTTGCCAAGATTGCCACGGCTGAAGAAGTCATGCTTGACACAATGGATCTGAGGATCAGTGAAGACGGCTGACCCAAAGCCCTGAAGATCTGTCACCATCATCTGACCCCCAGACTGACACCAAGAAAAGTGACAGAATGCTTCGGCCAGTTCTGCTTCTGAAGAAATGAAACCGGTGTTGCTAGTGTACTTTTCAAAGACTCCAGCAACAAATGGTTCCAGCGTTGCATGTTTGGCAATGTTCCACTTTGGCAGCTCAATTGCCCATGCATCCACGAACTGCACCGGTGCTAGGGGAAAGCGTTGAGAGAACTCTTCCGCAAACAACCTGGCATAGGCCTGTGTTTTCACATCTGCCAAGGTCATGGATGAGACGTTTTTGCTGGCTTCGTTGTGCACCTGACAGGGCCAAGCCGACGTTTCATAAATATGAAAGAAACTGATAGAACAACAATTAACAAAAACATAACTATATACATACATAATCAAACACAAATGAATAAGACCCATGGAGATGACCGATCATAATCACAAGGTCAAGAACAAGCAAACCTGGTTAAGGCTTCTGAAGTAGTTTGACTATAATGTCAAGGCTTTGCGTCCGTGTAAACTACGCAAGATGTGCTGTCTGAATGTGAAGTAAAGTGACAACTCAATGATTGTGATCTTTGCATCTGCTGAAAATTCCCATTAAGTGCTGACCTTCAAGACAAAGCGCAGGTTTCCATCCAGGCTGGTGGCAGGAAAGGCGTACCTCATGCTGCCACTTGCAAATGGCTCATTTCGAACGCGAAAGCTTTGGATCACCCTGGTGGGGTTGGTGTCAGAGGTCAAGGCAATGACATTCACACTGGTCACCAACACCTTTTGAACGGGCCACTTCTTCCAGTCTGTCCAGGAAACATAGGCTTTGACATGAAGTGATAGATCAGCTTGAGCTTGAGCAAATTCAGTTCTGGCCCTAGATTGGTCTGAAATTGACTGGGTCAATGTCATTGAAAGAGTCTCCTTGGTGCTGGCAAGAATGCACTGCACAAAGTCATCTGTAGTATTGTCAGGCTGAAGGACCAAAGTTTGAAGCCCAGCTGTTGAAGTTGCCTGGCGCAAGCCCGAGAACACTTCAAAAGTTCTATCGAGCAAAGGGAAGCCATACACAGCATATGCATAGTCCAAGAGCACAAGGTTGAGGTTTAGTTTCACTGAGGTTGCCATGACATTGTCTGCGATTTTCCACTGCTTAACGTCAGAGGGATATGAATCATACTTCTGATAGTTGTGACCTCCACACTTAAATCGGGTGCCGTGTGGAGGTGCATCGCAAACAAGGTAGATGATTCGAGTTCTTGCCTGCCAGTCCAAGTGCAATGCCTGGTACAAACCACCAATCACATCTTCGCACTCATCCCCTCCACCAGTAGCACGAAGCTTGGACAAGAAAGACTCCACATCCTTCACATTGCTGGTCAAGGGCAAGATCTCAAAGTGGTTGTAATCGTCGTAGTCTCTGTATCCTACAACGGAGAAGCGGATATTGCCTCCATGCCCCAAGGACCTAACAATGCGACTCTGGATCTCAACAATCTTCTCCTTCGCAGCCTTGATTTGGTTTCCCATTGAAGAGGTGCAGTCCAAAACGAAACAAGCATCCACTGACTTCACCTTGGCTGCCCTCTGCGACGCTTCAGAAATCTCTGCCTGCAGCTTTTCAGAGGCCTTGCGAACCACCGCAGCCGTGGCTTTCACCACGTCCTTTTGGCCACTGAGGCTCTCTCGTCGCTGACTGCGCCGGATGATTTCCTCCAACTGCTCTCGGGTGAGGTCGCTGAGTTCCATTTGCTCGGTCATGGTACCACGTTGGTGCTGTTTGCCACGAAAAATCGGACTTGAACCGAACATTTGCTGATGGGACCAGCATCTGAATGCTGAATGTGCACTGGAACAACCTGTCATCACACAGGGGGCGCCAGAATGACTCGACAAATGGCCTGTGCCAATGGTTGTTGGTTACATCCCCACTGCACACTCATTCCACTCCCTAAAGCATCACCTTATATCACTTTATAGCTTTTGCGTAATCCTCATCAAAAAAAGATATATCCCATACATAATTTCCGACACATATTATTACACAGGCTGAGTTTGAAAGAAAAAACTGCTCCAGATTTGTCCTACTAAGAGATAGGTCTAAGGGCCAATCTTGCGGTTAAATCTTTAATATTGGTTATGATTATGATTCTGCAACGGTTAATTATCGAAAATTTGGGATTGTTAACGATTGTCAACCGTTAATCCAATAGTCCCCAAGGTCTTAATAATCTTAAATGTTCATGGTTGTAATGTGGGTAAAACAATTTCATAAACCATCCCCCAGTCATCATCATTTTTATAGGTGGTATGGTTACCATTCCCACCAAATGGGTGGTTTATTGTCGTTTTACACACATATCACATTATACAAATGTTGAATCCGTTAACTTCTGACGATTGCTGCGTAACACTTCCCAGCAGCCCCGTTTTCACCGCTGCCTGAACGGCCACGACACAGCACTGCAGCGACCGCCGCCGCGCAGGAGGGCCCAGTAGTGAAGCACCTGAAGCAGTTGCGACGCGAAAAGGGGGATCGACCAGTCAAAATATGCAAACTTGGCATTTAACCATCAAGGAATTTATAGAAGCAGCAAACATAGGGGATTTATCACCATATAATTTTAGATCTAACCATTGAACAATTGGGATGCAACCATCAAACAATGTGGTTCTACACAGGGCTGCTGGTAGTAGAGATTTCAAGGAATGGAAGTTAACCTCACAAACCTATGATCGACTAAACTAAACTATCAAAAAGATTCACAAAACAAGACATGTTGCAATGTATGGATGTATAACAGCTGGCGTTTGACCAACAAACAGCCAAACCAAGATGCAAAATAATAATCATAAAATCTTCAGGTTTGGTGGACATGTCTTGAAAGTCACAATTTTGCGATCACCCAGCCATTCAAACATATATGACATATATGACAACTGCGGATTACTTTGAGCCGCAAACGGCACACCTATTGTTGACACTGCATGAAGAATTGTTGACACTGCATGAAGAACCTGAGCATGCCCAGTGGATGAATGTAATTTCATGTAAAGTCAGTACCACTTATATACTTCCTATAGCAATTGGTCAAAGTTTGGGCCTGGGTACCCCACAAAATGCATGGCTTAATACATCTTAAATATATCTTACTACAGGATGATGCCCCTCAGTTATAAGTTGGTTTATAATTAACCCAATCATACCCCATCTAAATGTATTTGTAAGTATCATACACTAACTATTGTTATTATAGTTATAAAATGTTATAGACCAACTTAGCTAACTATGGCGCCCCATCTTGTAGTAATCTCAGCGAAACTTTACAGGAACCACATATATATATATATACTTGGGGAGTAAAAAGACACGGCTTTTCTGTAAATGTTCCCTTCAACCAACTCAGTGATACCAACGGACATGGGATTCCTGGATTCCTTGCCTCATTTGCGCGGCGACCGGCTGCCATTGCCGGCCCACCATTGGGTTGATGATACACAGCATTTCGAGGTCATTTGAAGCCGCAATCGATGTGGTAATGTGGTGATATCACCACTTGGAGTCGCAACAGAATGCATCCGCTCTGGAGACAGAGTGTGTCGTTGGTCTAATCTGCAGCTCTTCAGTGTGATCAACAAATCGCTTGCACAAAGCACGGAAGATGTCAAAAAACAGATTCACATGGCTAATCGCAACTACCAGTATGAACAACCCCATGTACATCCATTCATGGAAAAAGACGAAAGACCCATTTCACCAGTACTGTCTGCGAGTTTTTAAGACGACAACATATAACAACCCTACAAAACAGGTATTATAAAAAAGACTTGAAACATGCGAGTATAGATCAACATGGATCAGGAATTGGACCATGAACATAGAAAAAAGATGAATAAAGGCCTTGAACATCTTCAACATATTATATAGAAACATTTAGACACATAGTATGCTATGAATGTGCGGGTTAGCTGACCTCACCGCAGAATCGTCTTCTTTTCCACATAGACGTGCGCCTCCCTCGGCCAAAGCGGCAACGGAACCGAGGGCACCTGGTGAAGATCTATCCCGGGAGATGCGAAAAAGATCGACGTTGCAACCAGAAGTTGCTTCGGTTGGTTTTTCATGGCTTCCAGTTTGAATTCGTGTTCCATGGTTTTCTTGCCATCTATCCAGAGTGGTTGTGAAATGTTGTGAAACATGTGGAGTTCTCATGATTTGTCACGGAAAAAAAGTCAACATTAGTCAACCAACTGGAAAAAAAGGAACATGTACACATGGGTCTGGATGTCTGCAGGTGTTTTTTTGATAATTACAATAGACAACACGTTGGGTCACTGGTTGTCTCGACATCCCGGGAGGTTCGGTGTCCTGCATTGTTCTGCAATGCAGTGCGAATTTCCTGGACAAATAACAAGTTTCTGCATCGATTTCACCGCGCTTGGCTGGAAGTTGTCTCCTTCCATTGCGCGAATTCGTTTCTGTTTTTCGACATCTTCGACAACATCGGATGGAAATGGAGGTCTTATGAGTCGGATGAAAATCATGTCAAACTCAAACCATCTCAAAACGCCAACAAATTCAAGCACACTAAAACGCTTCCCAACTTCCCAAGATCCACATAAATGACGTGTTCATACTTCTTCTCTACTCGGAGAGAATCAACATGTTATATTTAAGTGTATTAAGATCTTTGGCGAGATCTACGCTGGTGGACCCTCACTTTGCCGGTGTCGCCCTTCCTGCGCAGAGTCATCTCCCAAACCCTGTCCTATCCGGCGCGCCTTCAAAATTAGATTCAGTGGGGCGCCAGCGCAAATGTTGAAGAAGCACATTTCAGGACATTTCAGTGTAGGTACAGTACACATATCAAATAAAATGTATACATGTGGGTGGGGTCAAAAATGATCAACATTGGGTACTACAAAGGTTTTAATGGGTGAAATCACTGAAAACATCTCTGCATGGTGCATCGCTTCTGCTTCGGTCTTTTTCTGCAATATCAATCTCTGTGCCCGCTCCAATGGCGGGCTCCATGCCGGCAGCCCAAGGATAGCCCTGGTTTTTAGCAACAAATCGCGTTATGCATTTACCCCATTTTCATACAGAGATATACAAAGAATCCAACATGTGTTTCAAGGAAAAAGTAATAAGGCTAACCCATATAACTACTGACTATATATCTGACTATATGTACAATACGTACATATTCATGAATGTTATATATATATTATACCGCGAGTCATTCAAAATGCCAGGATTTATCTTCGGGAAAGATCATCCGTTGAACACAGGGCTGCTCACCCGCGGGATGAAGCTGTTGGCCCGGTCAGGCTGCTGTGATCTTCTTCTCAGTCTGGATCTGAAGCGATGACACACCGCAGAGTCTGAAAGTTGATGCTGGAGATCGTCTGATTTCGAATGTACCCTCTGGTTATGTCAAAATAGCTATTGAAAATGGCCATAGAAATAGTGGATTTTCCCATTAATAGCATGGTGATTTTCCATAGCTATGTTAAATTACCAGAGGTATGTTCCAAAAAACGGAACATCTTGAAATATCTTGAAATATCTTGAAATCATCCATGTGCTGTACATGAACAGTCTATAGTACGCTATCTGAACTCGACAATGGAAGAGACCCAGCCATTCCCGGGCAGAGATGGCTCCAGACTCAGCCCCTTCGGGCATGGCCTGTCTTTCATCTTTGGTGAGCCCGAAGCCAACCTCGTGACAAAAACCCACATAGCACGCTGGGAAAAATATGGAAAATCCTGCAATTTTAGATGATTTGCCACCATTGAATCAATGACTGTTGCTTTCAAAAGGTTTTCAATTGGGTTCCTTACTTGGGTAAAGTCTGCGGTTCTGCCATGTTCTGCCAAGTTTCTCATTTAAAGGATCAAATATTTGACCTAAAATAGCCTACTCCTAAATTTACTGATCATCATTATGCCCATTAAAATTGCCATGATTAAGGGTTCATGACAGTTGTCACCCATTTTGGGACACACCCAAATAATTATGGTTGGTTCTATATCCATATATATATACATAAATCCCATGTATATTCCTATAAAATCACTCTTGTTGATGATAGGTTTTGAGCCATCTCCATATTAAGCGAAGATGAGCCGAGTGACAATGTGATGCAAAGTCTGTTTCTCATCTTGTAACTTCCAAGGCTTCCAGAAGAAACTGGCAAAGCCGGGCGCCTCCTATCGCAGCAGCGTTTCGCCATCCACAAAATATCACGTTCTATGACTTGCTTTATATTTAAACCTAAAATAACCTAAATTTGATGGCTTTCATCATGTTCATTGATGATTTCCCTATGTATTCCCCTATTTATTTCCCTATTTATTCCCCTATTTATTTCCCTATTTATTCCCCTATTTATTTCCCTATTTATTCCCCTATGTATTTCCCTATTTATTCCCCTATTTATTTCCCTATTTATTTCCCTATTTATTCCCCTATTTATTCCCCTATTTATTTCCCTATTTATTCCCCTATTTATTTCCCTATGTATTCCCCTATTTATTTCCCTATGTATTCCCCTATTTATTTCCCTATTTATTCCCCTATTTATTTCCCTATTTATTTCCCTATTTATTTCCCTATTTATTCCCCTGTTTATTTCCCTATCTATTCCCCTATTTATTTCCCTATTTATTTCCCTATTTATTCCTTTATGTATTTCCCTATTTATTTGCCCTATTCATGTCCCTATTTATTCCTTTATTTATTCCCCTATTTATTTGCCCTATTCATGTCCCTATTTATTCCTTTATTTATTCCCCTATTTATTTTCCCTATTCATGTCCCTATGTATTTCCATATTTATTACCCTATTTATTTGCCCTATTTATTCCCCTATGTATTGCCCTATTTATTTCCCTATTTATTGCCCTATGTATTTCCTTATTTATTCACCTATTTATTTCCCATATTTATTCCCCTATATATTTCCCTATTTATTCCCCTAGTTATTTCCCTATTTATTCCCCTATTTATTCCCCTATGTATTTCCCTATTTATTCCCCTATTTATTTCCCTATTTATTTCCCTATGTATTCCCCTATTTATTCCCCTATTTATTTCCCTATTTATTCCCCTATTTATTTCCCTATGTATTCCCTATTTATTTCCCTATGTATTCCCCTATTTATTCCCCTATTTATTCCCCTATTTATTTCCCTATTTATTCCCCTATTTATTTCCCTATTTATTTCCCTATTTATTCCCCTATTTATTTCTCTATTTATTCCCCTATTTATTTCCCTATTTATTCCCCTATTTATTCCCCTATTTATTCCCCTATTTATTTCCCTATTTATTCCCCCTATTTATTTCCCTATTTATTCCCCTATTTATTTCCCTATTTATTCCCCTATTTATTTCCCTATTTGTTCCCCTATTTATTGCCCTATTTATTCCCCTATTTATTGCCCTATTTATTCCCCTATTTATTTCCCTATTTATTCCCCTATTTATTTCCCTATTTATTCCCCTATTTATTTCCCTATTTATTCCCCTATTGATTTCCCTATCTATTCCCCTATTTATTTCCCTATTTATTCCCCTATTTCTTGCCCTATTTATTCCCCTATTTATTCCCCTATTTATTTCCCTATTTGTTCCCCTATTTATTTCCCTATTTATTTCCCTATTTATTCCCCTATTTATTTCCCTATTTATTCCCCTATTTATTTCCCTATTTATTCCCCTATTTATTTCCCTATTTATTCCCCTATATATTTCCCTATTTATTTCCCTAGTTATTTCCCTATTTATTCCCCTATTTATTTCTCTATTTATTCCCCTATTTATTTCCCTATTTATTCCCCTATTTATTTCCCTATTTATTCCCCTATATATTTCCCTATTTATTCCCCTATTTATTTCCCTATTTATTTCCCTATTTATTACCCTATGTATTTCCCTATTTATTCCCATATTTATTCCCCTATTTATTTTTCTATTTATTCCCCTATATATTTCCATATGTTTTCCCCTATTAATTTCCCTATTTATTCCGGTATATTTATTTCCCTATTTATTCCCCTATTTATTTCCCTATGTATTCCCCTATTTATGTCCCTATTTCTTCCCCTATTTATTTCCCTATTTATTCCCCTATTTATTCCCCTACTTATTTCCCTATATATTCCCCTATTTGTTTCCCTATTTATTCCTTTATGTATTCCCCTATTTATTTGCCCTATTCATGTCCCTATTTATTCCTTTATTTATTCCCCTATTTATTTTCCCTATTCATGTCCCTATTTATTTCCCTATTTTTTCCCCTATTTATTTGCCCTATTTATTCCCTATTTATTTCCCTATTTATTTCCCTATTTATTTCCCTATTTATTCCCCTGTTTATTTCCCTATTTATTCCCCTATTTATTTCCCTATTTATTCCCCTATTTATTCCCCTATGTATTTCCCTATCTATTTCCCTATTTATTTCCCTATTTATTCCCCCTATTTATTCCCCTATTTATTTCCCTATTTATTCCCCTATTTATTTCCCTATTTATTCCCCTATTTATTTCCCTATTTATTCCCCTATATATTTCCCTATTTATTTCCCTAGTTATTTCCCTATTTATTCCCCTATTTATTTCTCTATTTATTCCCCTATTTATTTCCCTATTTATTCCCCTATTTATTTCCCTATTTATTCCCCTATGTATTTCCCTATCTATTTCCCTATTTATTTCCCTATTTATTCCCCCTATTTATTCCCCTATTTAGTTCCCTATTTATTCCCCTATTTATTTCCCTATTTATTCCTCATTTATTTCCCTATTTATTCCCCTATTTATTTCCCTATTTATTCCCCTATTTATTTCCCTATTTATTCCCCTATTGATTTCCCTATTTATTCCCCTATTTATTTCCCTATTTATTCCCCTGTTTATTTCCCTATCTATTCCCCTATTTATTTCCCTAGTTATTTCCCTATTTATTCCCCTATTTATTTCTCTATTTATTCCCCTATTTATTTCCCTATTTATTCCCCTATTTATTTCCCTATTTATTTCCCTATTTATTTCCCTATTTATTCCCCTATTTATTCCCCTATTTATTTCCCTATTTATTTCCCTATTTATTCCCCTATTTATTCCCCTATTTATTTCCCTATTTATTCCCCTATGTATTTCCCTATTTATTCCCCTATTTGTTTCCCTATTTATTCCTTTATGTATTCCCCTATTTATTTGCCCTATTCATGTCCCTATTTATTCCTTTATTTATTCCCCTATTTATTTTCCCTATTCATGTCCCTATGTATTTCCATATTTATTCCCCTATTTATTTGCCCTATTTATTCCCCTATGCATTGCCCTATTTATTTCCCTATTTATTGCCCTATTTATTTCCTTATTTATTCCCCTATATATTTTCCGATTTGTTCTTCTATTTATTTCCCAACTTATTTGCCTATTTATTTCCCAATTAATCTCACTGCCAGGAATGGTTTTGGAGCAATGAAGCTTCAACCATGACACCTGAACGAGTAAGATTGAATAATCACCCAACAAATTCCAACAAATTGGATACATCCAGCACAAATCAGAAGTAACATAAGATGACACATTGATCCACTTTAATATATAGTGTGTATATATATATATTATCATTATACATTATATACTATATATTATATACATTTTATCTTTCTGAAAATATTATATTATATTGTAAAATAGCATTGAATATATATATATATATTGTAGTATATTATTCAATATTATGTTGTATTGAATTATAATATTGTATTATATTAAATTAATATATATATATATATATCATATTTTATATTATACTATATTACATTATATGTTAAATTACAGTATATCATATTATATGATATCATATCATATTATATCATATTATATTACATTATATTATATTATATTATAGTATATTATATTATATTATATTATATTATATATAACTATATTATATACAATATATTATATATGATATATGATATATAATATATATTATATAATATATAATATATTATATATTATATACTATATATTATACATTATATATTATACATTATATATATATATTTGTTAAATTAAATATTACAATATATTAAATTATAGTAAGTTATATTATAGTATATTATATATTTTATTATATTATATGTTATATTAAATATATTAAATATAATATATATTATATAATATTATAAAATATTGTATTATATTATATTGTATTATATTATATTATATATCATATCATATTATTGTATATTATATATGATATATATATACACATTATTAGCGTGTATATTTTAACAACTTTTTCTGGACCCCCATTTGATCCAACCTCTTCCAGGAGGCTGCTGGAAGTTGGCGCCTCAACCTGCCACGCTGCCACTCGCCGCGCCGTAAACGTAGGTGGGTGTTCTAAACATCTATGGGAACTGATGATAGTTACAATGTGGGGCCCCCAAGATAGCTAAGTTGGTGAACATAACTACAATTTCACTAGGGTTTATGGTAGTTATAACCATAGTTAGATGGGGTTATAAACCAACTTATAACTAGGGGGCCCCGCATTGTAGGGGTTTCCTAAAGTGGAGGGGGTACCCCAAAATATATGGTTTATAATGGAAAATCTATCTAAAAATGAATGATTTAGGGGTACCCCTTTTTAGGAAACCTCCATATGTGATAAGACAGTTAATAGACATTTAATAGACAATAAATAAATATAAGTAAGTTATGGCAAAATGGCTGTCTAAATTGCAAGAATCTATGTTGTGGAAAACCATTCTATAATCATACATGATATACAGCAACTTTGGGCTCCAGCATGGAACAGCGACCAACGAATTGAGCTACTGTTGAAGGACCTGATTGAGATCCTGCTGTATTCAACTCCCACACCCAAAATTCAGCAGCCGAAGTAAGATGTTTGGATTCAAGATGTCCAGTTCGGGTCCAGATGAAATTTCTGGGCATCGGCTCAAAGTTGGTTGCCAAGTGTTTCATCAAGGGCCCTGTGACAACAGCTGCGATGGGGATGTCCCACAGGGCATTGAAACAGAAATCGGTCTCAAAGTGGGTGGTCTTGGTAGTGGGTTGCGCGCCGTTTGGGAGCGTCCAATTTTGGACACCTACCCACTTCTCCTCTTTTGAGTCAGGTCACTCTTGTACGCCGGTTTTCTTCGCGCAAAAAAATAGATCCTGCAAACAATCGGCTGCCCCTCATGAATCAAAAACCCACTAATATGGGGGAGCAAAATGAAGAAATCCAGTAACTCCTCTATTTTTGTTGTCCCATTTTTTCTGAGATGTTTATCCTACAGGGGTAAGGCCCTTGACACATACCCTGACCTGGGATGCAGGAGCCGAGTCATCTGCCAGCTCCCCATCACCTTCCTGGTGCCGATTTCTGCTGATTTTGAAGGTCCGCATCTTTGAGAACCACCCGTGTTTGGATTGTACAATTGTGGAAGACCCGTGGTGTGCCTTGCTGTTAGGATACAAATCTCTGCAACTGGCCAAGTAAGCTCAATTTGAAGTCCTCTGAATGGCAGATCCATGGGTGATCTGCTTCTTACCAAAACTCTCACTTCTCCACTTGAATAAATCTGCATCAAAATCGGGGACCGTCCAAACTCCATAATGAGGCTTTTTTCATCCAGTCCTGATGATTCCTGGGTTCCTGGCTTCTGATCCACCCAACCCTTGCAAGGGGTGCCCTCTTACTTGGCTAAGGAGGTTAACTCAGGTTTATCAGTAACATTTGGTATCTATATATATATATTATACATATATATATATAAATATATATCAAATTCATAAACAAACCCACTCGTATGACTGGGGAAACCACCTTGCACAGATTTTTGTTGAGGTCACCTAACCCTCAGCACCTTCACTGGGCCCCAACTCGGCCCCCTTGCCGACAGTTGCAACAAACTCGTGGCGGGGACCAGGTGGCTCAGCATTCCCGAGGCTGCGTCCGCAGCATCCGCCTGACGGTCTATGAGACATGGAGGCATTTTACACGCCAACAGGGTTTTAGAGAAGGATTTCAATACAACATGGGGGTTGGAAATTGAAGCAACACAAAGTTGGAATTTATTGGTTGCTTAAAAACATGGACCTTCACCAATACTAACGGTAACGGGGGCTTCAGCACCAAAAATGAGCCAACATGGTCCGACACGGCTGGGAATTAGCACATCCATTATTGAAGGTTGGATTGATGCAGGCAACTAACAAGAGTGTGTGAAACCTGACTTTTGCAACAATCCTTACAATAAGATTGGATGTGTGCGATGGAACAACTCTGCAGTCCATAAGCCATCTCCAAAGCCTGTTGGTCTGCCATATCGATCTGCTTCTTGATACTCTCCTGCAGCTTGCGGCTTGAAGATGTAAAGCAAGGTCATCACTGAAGCAACTGACAACCTCACCATGTTTGTTTCTTTATTACTCACCCTGTTTGCAGGCGATATCCCTGTTGTTCTTGGTTAGTTCCGACGCTTTCACCGATTATCCGCCCACCAATGTCACCACCAGGATCAGCTGTCCACTGGCATCAAGGGCCGTCCATGTCATGTGTATAGCTGGATGTTGCGATACATGGAGCTACGAATAAATAGCGATAACCACTCAATGTTGAAGGTTCACACTCAGTGGAATGGAACTCTAAAGCCCATATGTACCCGTAATTTAACATAGCATAGCTATGGAAAATGGCCCATTGATAGTTGAATTGCCTATTAAAGATTGTGATTTCCATAGCTATGTTAGGTAAGTATCAAAGTGGGGTATGATTCATCCCAATCGGCTTCCTGCAACTTTCGCAGGTCAAGGTCCACTTTGGACAGCTCTTCGTGCTCCTCAGTGCATCTCAAGGTTTCTTCACAAAGAAACATGTTGGTGGGTGGTTTCAACAATACAGAAAAGATCATAATTAAGCTGGTATATAATCATCCATATAAACTGGATGTTCATTGAATTCTAAAGTGCAAACATCTAGATTCAAATCACCAAACACACGCTCTGGGTCTAGGCTTCCCACATCCTCTGAGAGTTGAAGAAAACTCGGTGCCTGGACCCCGAGAATTCGCCAAGTGGAATTTCAGAGCTTCATTCATGACTGAAACGAGTAGTTGAGTTGTAAGTTCATTAATAACTATAGTTGAATTATAATGAATAACTGTAGTTGAATTATAATGAATAACAATAGTTCAATAATAATGAATAACTATAGTTCATTATAATGAATCAATTGTGATTTAACATAATGTAACATAATTTAACCATAGACTATAATCAATCAATCAATCATTCAACCCCCAACCCTCGGGGGACCGTGGTAGCACCCACCTTCCATTGGCCATGTTGGTGCTTCGTGTGCTTCGTGTGCTTCGCGTGCTGGCCGTGCTGGCTGAGGGCCTTTTGGGCGTGGGCCGCGGCGTGGGCCTTACCTTGGTGCCGAGAAGGGGCGATGGGGCGATAAACCAAACATTGGCACCAAAATCATAGTGACTCATAGTGACTCATATTTGTAATATAGATGTATAATAGATGTCAATAGTGACTCATAGTGACTCTGCACCATAGGGATTATTAACAGATTATTAACTATTAGTAATTACTACAATGTGGGGCCCCCAAGATAGCGTTCAGTTGGTGAACATAACTACAATTTCACTAGGGTTTATGGTAGTTTTTTAACAAAGTTAGATGGGGTTATAAACTAACTTATAACTAGGGGGCCCCACATTGTAGATGTATAATAGATGTCAATAGTGACTCTGCACCATAGGGAATATTCACAGATTATTAACTATTAGTAATTACTATGGGGATTGTTAATAGACATTAACGGTATTTAATAGTCACTCTCAAACATCCATTTAACTAAGAATGATGGCTTATAGTAAGTATTCTGATTAATATTGGATTATTATCCCCAGCAATAGTGGCGTTGATAAAAAAATAGAGTAATGAGTAGGGAACCTGATCATTCATGGGGATTATCAAGAAGTAATTGCCATTGACAATGGAACATATCATGGGATGTGATTCGTGGAGCAGAACAAACGAATAGTTTGATGTTCTCAGACAGTTCTCCAAAATATATCAAAGGGTCCATGGGACGGTCAAGTTTGCTGAATCTTATTTCTCCATCTAAAATGACCTAAAAAAAGATTGAAGCTAGGAACTATCAGTTTCTCATGAACCCCCAAAACATCAATGGTTTGACAAGTTTGATACTGAAATGATGACCCAAACAGCCAGGTTCAATCCGGAGTCCAATGTCTCCCAGGTTGCCAATGATGGGAAAATCATCGAACTAAGTCTACAAATGATGTATTTTCCAGCATGCCACGTTTGATTACCAAAGGGTATGTGAAAAAGTTAAGCCATCCTCATCTGTAGCCTACCTGTACGAAGTAATTGGTGCAATTGAACACGTGGGTTTGTCTGGAAGCAGCTTCCCGACTACAATGCCATTTTGCAGGGATACCATGGTATACCCCCATTTTCAGACATACCCAGCATACCCATGTTTACATTGTAACATAGAAATCCTATTCTGGTAATGCTGCATCTGCCAGTTTTAAACGTGCCAGGTGGCGATGTGCCTTTCTCATCTTGACCTGGTGATTCTCCATGGAATGGTGTTTCCACCAGCCATGTTTCTTTCCATGTCCAACGTGCAATCTGTTTTTAGCTTACCCTCTGGTAAACTAACATAGCTATTGAAAATGGCCATTTATCGTGGATTTTCCCATAAAAAATGGTGATTTTCAATAGCTATGTTAAATTACCAGAGGGTACTCCCCAAAAACAAAGAGAAAAAACATCTGTAATTGTCGCAGGTTCCAAGTTTTTTTTTGTTTGGCTGAACTATTGGGGTCCATGGCACCGTTCCCCAAAATTGGATGTTCTGAAGATGATTCATAGGATTTCATAGGCTACAGGTACCCCAAAATGCCATAGATGATCATCATTTTCCCTATCAAAATGTCCTTTTCGAATCGTCACCTCACACGCGCCACGCGTTTTGCCACGCGCAGGATTCACCGTGTTGATACCGGTCCAAAAAAAACGACATCCTCCAGTCCCCAACTCATGGGTGACATTACCCATTTGAACATGCTGATTTTCGCTTGCCTGGTTGGACTACTATAGAGGGTCTTTTCTTTGGAAGCCCAAACTCCCAAGTAGTTTATTGTCGTTCCCACTCAAGATACATAAAGTAATTACCATAAGTTGAGCTTTGTGAGACAAACCCACATCATTTTTCGCCCAAACCCAGCGGCCTTTTGCTTCAGACTGTGGGCATGGTGCTTGGATTTGCTTGATGCCTCCACAACCATCGATCCAAGGGTTGCCCTAGATGACTGGTTGGGTTGTACCCAAGGGGATCCCAAGTTGCAGTGGAATTCTGAATCTGTAAACATGACTGGCACGCTGTATTTATGGGAACTGCCCAACATTCGAAGGGAAAAGGACGTATCTTACCCTCTGGTAAACTAACATAGCTATTGAAAATGGCCATAGTCGAAATAGTAGATTTTCCCATTAATAGCATGGTGATTTTCCATAGCTATTTTGACATAACCAGAGGGTAAATCACACTTAATTATTGTTAGTGAATCTCTGAATTTTCGTGGTAAAATGTACCATTTGTTTCTGATGAAATCATTAGAATCCAAGTTTCTTTGCTAAATCCCCAGCTTCTTTCCCCACCTTGGTCGTCTTGGTCCCCTTGGTGGCTTGGTGCTTCTGGATCAAGCCCGTGGACAACGCCTGCCATGCATTGCCACGCTGCCGGCAAGGGCAAGGAATTGGTCAATATCAGCTGCAAAAGATTGGGATTTTGCCTCTGGTGAAGCAACACAACTATGGAAAATCACCATTTTTCATTGGTAAATCATCTATTTTTATGGCCCATGTTCAGTAGCTACGTTAGTTCACTGGAGGGCAACATGATTTACCCAAGAAAATCGGGGATCTTCAGCAGCAAAAAAGTGACCGGGATGGTGGTCATAGCACCAGATATCACCAGCACTCGAGGCTTACATGGGGTAACCAACAACCATGGTCATAACCCACTTGCTAGGGCTGCTAGGGGACAGTCCATCGCCAAGAAGTTGCATCATGATCTCTTGGAGGTTCAACTTAAATGGCCTGATGCAACATTTGTTGAGATGATGTGTCACCAGGAAAAGGGTTGCAAGAACTATGGCCACGGGTCAAACCCCAAATAGTTTTGATTTGTGGATGTTCATCCCACCAACACAGGATATGATGTTGGTTTTGAATGGTTTTGACCCATCCCCATGTTTCAAAGAGTCAGCTCTCCAACATCGCCGCGGGCCTTCTGCTGCTTGCTGCGAAGTTGGTCATAGAGCTTCTTGTCCGTGCTGGCGATGCTTTTTGGGGTCAGGATGGTCTTACCAGGCTGGAGGGATCCGGAGGGTAATGCCCTGCCCAAGAGCTCAAACCCAAAGATACCCTCTGGTTATGTCAAAATAGCTATGGAAAATCACCATTTTGAATGGGAAAATCCACTATTTCTATGGCCATTTTCAATAGCTATGTTAGTTTACCAGAGGGTACAGGGATCCATGGATCTTCAATCACAATTTGTGATCAATGATCAGTGAAGGTAAACAACCCCAGCAAAAAAACCTGTTCAAAAAACAGAAAGAAATGGAAGCTAACCACTGTACACCATGGTTTTTGTTGAGTCTCCTCCCCAAACGGCCCAAAGCCATTGGCATGGTGGCTGTTTGACTTGATCCCTCTTGCCAAGGCACTGATATGTGGCTGCCATTTGCCCCTGCAAGGACCTAACAGTTACGGGGATGGAAGCTTGGCTGTGCCTTTGGGGTGCTAAACACATGCGCAATCAAAACAGTGGAACAAACAGCCGGAGTTCGACTTCGGCACGTTTATTCTCTTAATTTAACTTAAAGCCATAAAACCAAGTCTTGCACTGGCGCGAGTTCATCGAACATGTGAGAAATTGTTCAGCTTGCAGCAACTACAGAAATCTACGTCGTCAACCCCCTGCTGATAGTCGACCCTATGCCAAGTGCTACAGGAAAAGTCATGGCAGATAGGATCCCAGCTGTAAGAAGGAGCCCAGGAGGTTCATATCAGAAGAATACCTCGCGGCAGTCGCGGCAGTGGGGCGACAACTCAGCCAGGGGATTTTAAGTGTCTGCAGAAAAGTGGGGTGCAGTTGTATATGTTTATATAATTATATATATGTTTATATATAGATTGTTTGATGATTTGAATATCACTAGAATCTAACACATTCTCTATCATTCTCTCCATCTGTTCAAGAATTGTCAATGTGTTCAGCATTGTTCAAGCACAAGCTGTCAATGGTCGCACTGCTGCGAGTCATGCTTGGTTGCCCTCCTTATTTGGTCGCTCTCTTGGGAGAACCTCAGATTTCACATGATTCCACGGGGAATCTAACAACCAGAAGTAGTAACTGGCAAGTCACAACAGTCACAACCAGAGGCCGACAGAGAGCTTAGCAGTTCTACTGAGGCTATAAAATCCCACTCCTGTTTCTCATGAGGGATGAGTTCACCAAAAACTTAAGGCTTCCCCATTGGATCTTTTTGGTGTACCCAGGGAGGTCCAACAATCTGACGCCATGGGCTTCAGCCAGATGAGAAGCAGGAACTCAGGAACTCAAATCACCTGTTTAGCAACATATCTATCATATGTCCATAAATAGGGGTACCCCAAAACCATGGCTTTCAATACTAAAAGACTATATAAAATGGTCTAATTTTGGATGATTTGGGGGGGTACCTCTGTACTTTAGGAAACTTCCATATCTATATCCCATCTTTGTTTCTAAATGTTGCTGAAACTCCTCAAAGAGAATCCCAACGTCTCTGATCTGCGCTGAGATTCTGGCTTCTCCAGCATGCTGATGCAGTCTTTCAAGGCCTAGCAAGGGTACCCGCTGAAGCTGATGATAGCATATGTCTAGTGCTGATTTTTAGTAGTATCTGGTCCGTAAGGTTCGGAGAAAAAATCTTGTTGAATCAGAATATTGCATAGCTGATTTGAGGCCTTGTTTGGTTGGTACAACTTGTGAGCGGTTGTTTACGACCTTGATTGAGAATTAACAATATATTTCATCATATTCATCACGCAGAAACTGTCACCAAACAAACATATCAACCCCTACGACTGCGCGAGGCACATTTTTCTGTACTCTCTGCCGACAGGTGTGTGGATTGTTTTCGCGCATAGACGACGGGGCAAAAGCATGAACAAGTAAACCAAACAATGCCATGGTTTGCTTTTTTTTAGTTTTAGTTTTATACATATTTGGGATCATTAACCATAGGGATGTCGAATCCGAACAGGGGATCACTTCGGCCAGGCATTTCATCCCAGCAGCATCCTCCTGGAGAAAATCGATGAGACAGGTATGGACCCATGTCAGGGTAAACATGTGGATGGTCCTGGATGGTTACTCCCTGGTAAACTATAATAACTATATAACACAACTATGGAAAATCACATTTTTTTATGGGTAAATCAGCTATAACTGGCCATTTTCAATAATTAGCTATGTTAGTTTACTAGAGGGTAATGATTGTAGGTTTAGCACATCACAAATATCTACAGATTGGGTACCAATTGATCCATCATCACTTCAGCTCCGCAGCTGAGCCACTTGGATTTTCCTGCTGAAAAAAATAAGATCTATGATGTTTGGGCAGGTAATACGTCCTTGAGTTCATGTTGAATTGGCAAAACCGCGCAAAAAATGTTCAATCGTGTTCAATCGACTGGCTGTGAATATCCCACGTGTTGCACGCACTGACGCGTTGTTTTCCTACATGTCCAGCCATTTCTCCGCCAAAATCTCGTGGGGGGCGATCGCCCCACTGTGAGACACTGCAGGGGTCGTCTTCTGCGTCCCCAGATGCCAGCGGCTTAGCGTGCTGGCATGCATCCATGGCCATCTGAGCAATAGCCTTGGACCAGCTTGGGTTAGGTTGCCAAACAGTGGAGATGGAACTTCATAGACAATTTCCGCTTGGTATCTGAGATAGACTTAGTCTGAAAATCGGGGACCCCAAATCCAATGTCATCATTGTTCCTACAAAAAAATGTTATTTAGTATACTAGGTTTGATTTGTCTAGACTTCAGAAGAGCTTGGGTTTTACATAGCATGACAGGCATGGGCACAATTAAGAGATGCTTAGGTAGGTAGATGGTTCCTTGATACTGTTGCGCAGATTGATGGATGGATAGATGAACTTGCTAAGCCTCCGAGCATCAGTTAGCCAATAAGATAAGATTAGACTAAATTCGATTAGATTATAGATTGCAGTAGAGTAGATAGATAGTTGGTAGGTTGGTAGATAGGTAGATAGGTAAATAGGTCAGAAATAGGGAAATAGGGAGCTGGGAAAGTAAGGAAACAAACACAACAGAGGAAAGAAGAGGGATACGGAAAGAGAGAATGAGGATAAATAGAAAAAAAAGAAATACATAGAATGTGGGGAAGGAATGAGAGAGAACTAGGGGAGAGTGGGAATTTGGCCCATAACAACAATGCGTCATAGAGGCTTACAGAGGATAGTAAAAACAAAGAGTTGGTAGATAGGTAGATAGGTAAATAGGTCAGAAATAGGGAAATAGGGAAATAGGGGAATAGGGGAATAGGTAAAGATAGACAAACGCATAGACATAGATACACTTGCAATCACTTGCAGTACCTGTTTGTAAAAGCCAAGTGAGGCAGTCTTCCAAAAGGGATTACACAATCATTTTAGCAAAAATACATGACGTCACGCCTCACATGTTGCCATCTCAAGCAGTGGAAAACATGACCACTTGGATGGCATGAAGAAGTGTCCGAATCATGCAAAACATGTATGTGTATATATATATACATATACGAAGTGATGTCGATGGATACTTGTGTCTGTATATATATATATGTATTACAGATAGATAGATAGATAGATAGATAGATAATGATATATAATGATATATAATGATATATAATGATATATAATGATATATAATGATATATAATGATATATTTAATGATATATTTAATGATATATGATGATATATGATGATATATGATGATACATGATGATATATGTATATAATGTGTATATAATATAATGTAAATACATATATATATACACTGATATACACATAAATTCTACGTAGCTCTCCATTACCAGTTTTTTTTCTACACTCACTGCAGGGCTCATCGCTCCCCCGCTCCCTCCCCCGCTCCAGGTGGCCAGGTTGGCAGTAGCAATAGTAGTCCTATGGCGAATCATGCGGAATCATGGGGATATACCATCTGGTTATGACAAACCGTTCGCCATGGAAAGATCCACCCATCTTTAAGTTCAGTAAACCATCTGTAACTATCATTGATAACTATTATGATGGTCATGGTATATAAATGATAGTTATATAATAATAGTTATAAACATCTATAGTTATATAAATGATAGTTATATAATGATAGTTACCCTCCAATAAATTAACAGTTGGACCCTGGCAGTCATCGGGCTTGGAAGATTCGTTTCCATTCAAAATTGCTGATTCTCGGGTCTATGTCTGTTAATTTCCCAGATGGTAGTATGAATGGAATATGAATGGGATATATTGGTGAATTATCCCCATGAATTAAAGGAATTATGGGATATAAATGGATATATGGGATATATTTCTGATTTTTGGGGGGAGGTTGGTATGATTTATGAAATTGGCATACCCTCTGGTAATCAAACACCCCGGGCCCCCTTGCTGGCGTTGTCTGAAAATATGGTACCGCAGAATCTATTGGTTCATCATATGCTTCCCAATTCAAATGGCTGAGCTTGTCTAACAACAAGGTATCCCAACATCTACAATGTGGGGCCCCCAAGATAGCTAAGTTGGTTTATAACTACAATAACTAGGGTTTATGGTAGTTATAACCATAGTTAGATGGAGTTATAAACCAACTTATACCTAGGGGGCCCCACATTGTAGGGAAATATCATAATTTTCCTCTTAAAATAGCCATAATATGTGGATTCGCATCCTATGAATCCCACACAAACCCATTGGGGCATTCCCAGCCATTCCCAGCCCGCGTCCTGGGTGTTGCACCGGGTAGGGCCACGAGATTTGGCGCAGTCGAAGATCATGCACGAGGAGCTCTGAGCAACGAGCCAGCGTTGGAGGGTACCCAATACCAGTCCCCACTGCTGCTACCCTCTGGTAAACTAACAAAAAGCTATTGAAAATGGTGATTTCTAGTAAATTTACCCATTAAAAATTGGCGATTTTCCATAGTTATGTTAAATTACCAGAGGGTAGGCATTGAGTTCTTGTTTTGGGGGTAACACAGTGGAATATATCATGATATATCATGATATATTGGTGAATACCTTTCTGATTTTTTGAGGTACCCCGTTGTCGAATGGCTTGTTCATGTGTTTAATTGAATGAACTGCTGGTCAACGGAAAAATGAGGATTTTTCGGCATCAAACAGTGGGAATTCATCCCGCAACTGACTTCAATGAAACAATGACGATCTCGTGGTTTTGGCTTGGCCAAAAAAACCTCGTGATTCACTGTCTGAGAGGTCTATTGATTTGACCAAAAAACACTCTCTGGCAAATGTTTTTTATATGTAATCATCAACAAAAACGTTGCTTGCAAAACGGTATCATTAAATATCTATTTAGTTACCCTCTGGTAATTTAACATAGCTATGGAAAATCACCATTGTTAATGGGAAAATCCACTATTTCTATGGCCATTTTCAATAGCTTTTTGTTAGTTTATCAGAGGGTATGTAGATATAACCAATTTTTGGGGCAAGATCTCAACGTGTTTTGAAGGAAAACCATCCCACAACCATCTGATTCATCCCGTACAGGATTCGGTGGATCCCATGGTTACAGTAACCACCGAATCTTGTCAATCACGGTCATCCTACAATGTGGGGCCCCCAAGATAGCTAAGTTGGTTTATAACTACAATAACTAGGGTTTATGGTAGTTATAACCATAGTTAGATGGGGTTATAAACCAACTTATAACTAGGGGGGCCCACATTGTATCATTCGGAAATCCACAAAAAATGGCTCTCAAAAAACACACACATTAAAAAAAAACATCTTGAGGGAACAAAATGGATACTAATATGAATACTAGTATGGATAATGTACATGTTTTTCATAGAATACCAATCATCCACATATCATGGCCAATGTTAGATACCCTTTTCAGAAATTCACTTCTTAGCTGGTAAACCTAGATACCCTCTGGTAAACATACAAAAAACTATGGAAAATCACCATGTTTCATGGGAAAATCCACTATTTCTATGGCCATTTTCAATCGCTTTTTGTTACTTTACCAGGCCGGGTATTCCCATTGAAACCAACAGACCAGACTAAAGGATTGAACCATCCAAGACGGGCCGATGTGCCGAGATCTTGGTCATGCATCCCGTGGGGCCTGACGAAAAACGTCTGCACACAAAAAATATCACACACACATATACAATACAGCATGTATATATATATATGTATACACTAATAATAATAAATAATGATAATAATAATATGTACTATATTTATATACTATGTACTATTTATATAGATATACATATATATATATACAGTAATATTCTACCTATATAATAAATATATATAATATGTATATATAATGTGACTAAATATGTACAGTATTTCTATATCTCATTGCCCAGCGGCGAGGTGCTGAAACCATGTATGAAATGTGTGGGATAGCCTCTAGTGTCATCAAACACGGCTGTCTGGAACATCCCCAACAAAAATGGAGGTTTATAGCTGGGAGAATCATCCGTAAATGAGGATTTTTCCAGCCTCGTTTGATTGCCAGACGATAGTTGTTGTAAACCATCCCCAATTGTGGCCATTGCTACATGGAAAAATGAGAGGCAGTAAGATGTAGCCTCTGGTAAACGTTTACATAACTATGGAAAAGCACCATTTTTCATGGGTAAATCAACTATAAATGGTCATGTTCAATAACTATGTTAGTTTACCAGAG